ATATATTGCTGGCATGGTAGCACATGCCTTTCATCCCAGCACCCTGGAGGTAGAGGCAGGTGATCTTTGTGAATTTAAGGACATGCAGGTCTACATATATTAACCTCAAGGCAGCCGGGGCAACACAGTGAGACCCTATTTCAAAAAAAAAAAAGTTTCCTAGCTTGAAAACAAGAACAAAACACCTAGGGCTTGGCACAGAGTAAAACTGCTACAGGAAGGCTGGGGTGTGGATTAGTGGTGGGGCACACACAAGGCAGAGAAACAACACTGATAAACCATTTTGTGTCCCAGACAAATAATGATGTTTTGTGAAGGCTAAAAAGATTCAGAATTAAAATGCACAATAGCCCATCAAAATCCCCGCAAAATTCTTCAAAGACCTCGAAAGAATGGTATTCAACTTCAATTGGAAAAGCAAAAAACCAAGGATAGCCAAAACAATCCTATGCAATAAAAGAACTTCTGGAGGCATCACAGTCCCTGGCTTCAAACTCTACTACAGAGCTACAGTACTGAAAACAGCCCGGTATTGGCATAAGAACAGACAGGAGGACCAATGGAACCAAATAGAAGACCCGGATATCAATCCACACATTTTCAAACACCTGATCTTAGATAAAGAAGCAAAAAATATCAAATGGAAAAAAGAAAGCATATTTAACAAGTGCTGTTGGCATAACTGAATATCAACATGTAGAAGAATTAAAAAAAACATATCTATCACCACACACAAAACTCAAAGTCCAAATACATCAAAGGCCTCAACATAAAGCCAGCCACACTGAACCTTATAGAAGAGAAAGTGGAAAGTACACTTGAACACATTGGCACAGGGAACCACTTCCTAAATATAACCGCAGCAGCACAGACACTGAGAGAAACAATTAATAAATGGGACTTCCTGAAACTGAAAAGCTTCTGTAAAGCAAAGGTCAACAAGACAAAACGACAGCCTACAGATTAGGAAAAGATCTTCACTAACCCCATATCAGACAGAGGTCTGATCTCCAAAATATACAAAGAACTCAAGAAACTGGACACCAAAAGATCACATAATCCAATAAAAAAAATGGAGTACAGACCTAATCAGAGAACTCTCAACATTTAGAGGAATCTAAAATGGCTGAAAGACACTTAAGGAAATGTTCCACATCCTTAGTCATCAAGAAATACAAATCAAAACAACTCTGAGATTTCATACTACACCTGTAAGAATGGCCAAGATCAAAAACACTGATGACAACTTATGTTGGAGAGGTTGTGGGGAAAAGGGAACACTTCTGCATTGCTGGTGGGAATGCAAGCTGGTACAACCCCTTTGGATGTCAGTGTGGTGATTTCTCAGAAAATTAGGAAACTACCTTCCTCAAGACCCAGTAATACCGCTTTTGGGTATATATCCAAAGTATGCTCAATTGTGCCACAAGGACATGTGCTCAACTATGTTCATAGCAGCTTTGTTTGTCATAGCCAGAACCTGGAAACCACCTAAATGCCCCTCGACCGAAGAACGGATAAGGAAAATGTGGTACTTACACAATGGAGTACTACACAGCAGAAAAAAATAACGACAGCTTGAATTTTGCAGGAAAATGGATGGAGCTAGAAAATATAATTTTGAGTGAGGTAACTCACAGAAAGACAATTATCACATGTACTCACTCACAGGTGGTTTTTAAACATAAAGCAAAGAAAGCCATCCTACAAACCACAATTCCAGAGAACTTAGACAACAATGCAGACACTAAGAGAGGCTTACATAGATCTAATCTACATGGGAAGTAGAAAGTAGAAAAAGACAAGATCTCCTGAGTAAATTGGGAGCATGGGGACCTTGGGGGAGGTTTGAAGGGGGGATAGGAGAGGCAGGGAGGGGACCAGAGAAAAATGTAGAGTTCAATAAATAGCAATAAAAAATAAATAAAACAAAGAAGAAAATGCACAATAATATGTAAGTTGACAATGGTGGCGCACATGGGGAGAAAGGGTCCCAGCATTTTCCAAGAGCAGGTTAAAGATTCCAATTCCTTTTAGCCTTTGACAAAGATATCGCATCTCTTCATCTAGACTGATCATTAAATATTCATTTATTTACTATGTATACAATATTCTGTCTGTATGTCTGCAGGCCAGAAGAGGGCACCAGACACCATTACAGATGGTTGTGAGCCACCATGTGGTTGCTGGGAATTGAACTCAGGACCTTTGGAAGAGCAGGCAATGATCTTAACCACTGAGCCATCTCTCCAGCCCCCTAGACTGATCATTAAAATAATAAAATTGTAATAAATAATTTGCAACAAGTATGGATGGATGGTTGAAAATAGGAGAAAAACAAAAGTGAAAGAGAAAATTATATACAATCTGTACTTGTCACAGTAGAACACATCAAGAAAAATCATAGTTATAAATCTGAATATTTTATGAATAATCATAAACAGCTGCAATGCAAATAAAAAGACAAATGCCAGACTGGATAAAATTACCCCTGGGCTCCTTGCCAAGCTCTGGCCTGGTGTAGCTCCGTAGATAGCAGCACTCCACCAAGGTCTTCCTAGAACCGAGCCTGCATTCCCGATTCAGGGTGTACAAACTGGTTGGTAGATAAACCACTTAGCCCAACAACTGTGCAATCAGGGGGATTCTTTGTAAGAGAAGTAATAAATTCTCCACATTGTTAAAAACAGCTAAGTCAAGATTATTGTCAAGATACCTGTAGGCAAAAGCATCTCAATTGATAAAGTGGTTGTTGCCAGTTGGTAACATATACTTATAATCACAGTGCTCAAGAAGCAGAGGCAGGAGGATCACCCCAAGTCTGGGGCCAGCTTGATACATACAGGAACTTTCAGACATATTTAGAACTATATAATGAGACCCTGTCTCAAAAAAAAAAAATAGATTTGTTAGACCAGGCGTAGTGGCACACAACTTTAATCCCAGCACTCAGGAGGCAGAGGCAGGTGGATCTCTATAAGTTTGAGGTCAGCCTGGTCTACATAGTGAGGTCTAGAACAGTCATATATAGAGAGACCCTGTTCTCACCACCCTCCAAAAATAAGTTTGTTGAATGATAATACATTTAACACAATTTTTTATTATCTAATATCCTACTAGATCAAAAGTATTGTTTAGAGACTAGCAGGCCATTCAGCAAGACAATTAGGAACAAGAGTCAAGCACTGGGTAATGTTTAGATGGGTGAGGTTTAAGATCCCTTCCAACCCTAAGATGTTTGAATTTGTCAGGTTTGTTCATGTGTGTGTATGTGCGTATATGTGTGTGTATGTGTGTATATGTGCGTGTGCACAGGTACTTTCGATGACAGAGAAAGATGTCTGATGTCTTCCTCTATTCTTTTCCATTTTGTCCCTTGAGACAGGGTCTCTCAGTGAACCTGATGATGGCTGGGATTTTCCAGCCAGCGAGCCCATTTTCAAGCTTGCATAGCAAGTGCTCTTGCCCACTTGAGCCACCTCCCCAGCCTTCCAGTTATTTTAGTTTTGCTTACTGTATGAACACTTCCTCCATAGTAGTGACAGAGGCTCCCAAAGTGGAGATTCCCAGCTCTATCTGTCTCTGTTCTAATTCAGTAAATAGAGCTTCAAACCTAGAAGGGAAAAACGTTTTATTTTTGAAAGATGGAATTCCACCCTGAGCTTTCCACAGCAGAGAAGACATGGGGTTTGTTGTTGAGATATCTGCTCAGTTCTCAGCTTTATCACTTAGTTTCATAGCTATCACTTTTGAACTTGTAATAGTATTTACTTTGGAAAGTTCCTATGACGCTAAGTCTAAAATATATCTAGTACAAAAATGAAGTTTTGGTATTTCTGAGCCCAGGCCTAACGAGGAGTAACTACCACCCTTCCTTCTCAGTCCCTCCTGAGATACCTTTTCTTGGATTCGACCTGCCACACCATGAGAAGCCCAAGGCATCTGAGAGTGACCGAGAGGAGCGCTGGATGCTACACTCAGCAGTTCCAGTAGCAGCCAATTGTTAGCTAGCCCTGTTTTCCCAGATGTGAGAACGAGCCATCCTGGATATTCCAGAACACTCTAGGTCCAGAAAAAAATTAATGTGGAGCATAAAAACTGTCCAGTTCAGTGCAACCAACAGACAGAAACCGGTGGAGGCAGGGGAGGCAACAGTTACAGCCCCTGTCTTTTATGTGCAAGGCCCTGGACTGAATCCCCAGTACTGGGGAACAAACATTAAAATAGTTGCTACTTTAAGCCAGAATGTTTTGAGTTATGTTGTTATTAAGAAATATACAACTGACCCAGAATTTGAAACTAGTAGCACAACAGCACTATAAAACCCTCAGATCTGAGAGCAGGTGTCATGTTTTTGGGACAAGACAGTGAGGCAAAGGCAAGAAGGGCTTCAAGACAGACTGGGAGAGTAGTGAGGAAATTGTCACTTAGTGGCAGAATTTGGCAGCACGTTCAGCTGTAGTAACAGGAGACCAAAAGCATATCTGTGAATACGCGTGACCTGGCAGGGCATGTTTTCAAGACTGTGAGTAAGGCTTCAGTCTAAAAAAGGTGTGCTTCATAACTTGACGCAGAGGACCCCCGACAAAGTACTTATCCCATCTCGGCTACTCTTCTAAAGCAAGGATCAGGCAAATGAAGCCAGCTTTTAGGAAGAAATAAGTGTTCAAAAGACAGAGTGAACAGCCAGTGGGTGATTCAAGGCTGTCTGAAACTGTTCTCATGAACTGGAACCATCAATATGCATTCCCTGCTTCAGAAAAAGCAGGAATTTGAGACGCATGTCCGCCTAGAATTTAGGATTTCTGAAGACTAATGTGTTATTTGTCTTTATCTTTGTTTTCTGAGTGTTGTCTCTTGTGATTGCCATTACTTGCTCAGCTCACTGGGTGTATGTGGATCAGATAACACCTCATTATTTTACAAGTCTTCAAGAAAAGCCATGGCAAATGAGGTGAAACCAAGTTCCATGCTAGACATAATTCAGATAACGGGGTTCTGAATCCTATGCTGACTCCGCAACAGGAGACATTGTACTTTGCGTGTGGGCATGTGGGAAGGCTGAGGATTGTTGTAGCTGTGGTGGAGTGTGCTGGCGTCTTGGTCCATACCTGGACGTGGTCTTCTTAGGAAGTATGAATACCACTTCTTCTCCAATGCTGGACTCCAAAATTGCATTTGGTACGTGTTGGTAAACCACACTCGAAAGCTTCACAGTGTCACAGATGGGCATTTTTATCAGAGTCATATAATACCCTCCACCTGAAAGGCCATGCAGAAGACTATGAAATCAGCTTATTCTTTATACCATTCTTCTCAGGCCATATTCTCTAGCTCAGCATGGACAGGTCACAGCAAAGACAAAGAAATGTTGTGAAGTCACTTAAACCATAATGGCCTGGCTTCAGAAACTCTGCAACGCCATTCTAGAGACCACCCTTCTATTTCAGAATTAGGAGATAGAATGATGGCCAATCTAAGTGCTAAGCAGGGATAAAGAACTACAGTAAGGGTGCCAAGAAGGGTGATCCTCCGAATTCTGAACGTAAGAATGGTGCACGTTGCCAGGAACTCACTTGGATAACGGGACTGACAACAGACCGTGAAGATGTAAGATTAGAGACAGAGGGATAGGCGAGGAGGCATCTATAATAATCCAAGTAGGAGGAGATGGTGACCCCGACACCAGAATGCTAGAATGTAGCCAGAAATTTGAAAGAAATAGGTAGAACATATATATAGTCTTGGTTTCTTTTTGAGACAGGGCTTCTTTGTGTAATAGCTCTGGCTGTCCTGGAACTTGATTGTAGACCCACCTGGCCTCGAACTCACAGAGATCCACCTGTCTCTGCCTCCCGAGTGCAGGGATTAAAGGCGTGCACCACCACCGCCCAACTCCTATATGTATTTTGAAATTAAGACCAGCAGTGTTTGCAGATGGGTCAGACATGGGCTGTGAGACTTTGGCTTTGTTTGCTTCCATTTCATAGATTAGATTTTTTTTAAAAAATTCTAAGAAAGGATAAACTAACTTGGTGCCTGGATGAAGAGGCAATAAATTGACAAACTGGAACCCATGTGTTTAACATGGGTCTTCTGGTCCTAAGTCTCAAAGGTGCTTTTTACTTCATTTCTTCCTCCTTCTCTCAAGCTCGTCTCCTGGACCGACAACAGGAAGTCTAGGGAAGACCAGGACGCTTCACAAGGGCGGTGGAAGTGGCACTGGCCCGTCACAGGACGGAGGCTGACCTGGACTCCTGCTGCCCGCTACTCACCATATTTCTGCTTGAGGAACGCTGGTGACCCACAGCACCGTAGCTCCCCCTTGGCCATGATGGCGATGCGGTCCCCCAACAGGTCAGCTTCGTCCATGAAGTGAGTGGTCAGCAGGATGGTGCGGTTACTCTTCTGCTGCTGAAGAAGGTCCCAGATGGCCCTCCTGGAAGTGGAGTCCATGCCTGAGGTGGGCTCGTCCAGAATCAGGACCTAGAAGGGCAGAGGTGCAGTCTTTAAACACTGACAGAGCCATATCCCAGGCCCAGGCTAGGCACGCTGAGGGACTCTGTGCAGCTGCAGCTGGGGGTTTGACAAGATGTCCTCACCACCCCTAGGTCTGTCTTAGTGTAGGAGCCTGACCCCTGCTCTATACCTTAGAACCGGCTATGAGGGCAATGCCAAGCGAGAGCTTGCGCTTCATCCCCCAAGTCAGGAACTTGGACCTCGAGTTCCACTTGTCCTTTAGGCCGAGGAGGGGCAGCAGCTCCTCTATTTCTTCACGGCAGTTCTGGGGAGACAGGCCTTTCAACTGGAGGCAGGAAATGAGGGGATGTAAGGCAAGTGTTACTGAGAGCTGGGATGTCTAATCAACATTTTGTTTGTATACACATAAAATAAAGAGAAGAAAAATACATAAGGAACATCATTTTCAGGGCAAAGGACAAAGCTATGTAAGTGAAAATGTAAATGAAATGTACCGCCTATCAAAGGGTTAAAGAGATCCCGTCTTTAGAGAAATCTAAAGACACCTTCTGGCAAAAATTCCTCCACAGAATCAACACCTCATCCTCCCTCCCTCCCTCTCCCTGCTCTATGTACTTTCAGACAGGCTCTTACTAAGTAGCTCTGGTTGTTCAGGAATTCACTACGTACACCAGGCTGGCCTCAAACTCACAAAGATCTGCCTCCCCGGTGCCAAGATCAAAGGCGTGTGCCACCATGCCCAGCAAATCAACACTTTTCTAGGATCAGAGTTGAACCCTGTTCTCAAAAGTTGCACTTTGCTTATCATTTTGAATTAGCCACCTACGTAAGAATGTGAGGCTAGTTTCTGACCACTTAGGCTGAGGCAGAGCCATCTCCCCCTGTCCCTGTCGTGGCCTTGGGCCCTCAGATCCAGTTCCACAGTAAATGACTTAAAAATAAATACATCAGCTTGTTTAAAAAACACGCCATGAGCCAGTTGGTGGAGGTGCGTACTTTTAATTCCAGCACATGGGAGGCAAAGGCAGACAAATCTCCTGAGTTCCAGGCTAGACTACAGAGTGTTCCAGGACAGCCAGGGCTACACAGAGGAACTCTGTCTTCAAACAAATGAACAAAACCCTAAAAACAAAACAAAAACCCAACACACATTATGACTAAGTAAGATTTTTCAACATGTTTTTAAAAATCATTGTTTTTTGTTGTTGTTGTTCTGTTTTGTTTTAGTTTTGTTTAGAGAAAGGGAGGGTTTCTCTGTGTAACAGTCCTGGCTGTCCTGGAACTCACTCTACAGACTAGGTTGGTCTTGAACTCAGAGAGATCCGCCTGCTTCTGCCGCCCGAGTGCTGGTATAAAAGGCATGCGCCACTACCTCTTGACTTAAAAAAAATCACTGTTTTATCGTAAAGAGTTTATGTAGCTTTTGTCCCTAGTTCCTGGCATGGACTCTCTGAATCTTGGAACTTCCCAACTGATAGAAACATCTTTGTTACCACTAGGTCCTCAGGCCATGTTAGAGGTCACACAATGGAGGTGGTCCACTCTGAAAAGCCAGCTTTGTGCAAGTTTTCTGTCATTGTTTGGAGTGTGTGTGTGTCTGTGTGTCTGTGTGTCTGTGTGGAGCTATGGATGGTTGTGAACCACAATGGGGGTTGAGAACCTTGATGGGGGTTGTGAACCACGATGAGGGGTTGAGAAACACAATGGGGGTGCTGAGAACCCAACCTGGGTCCTCCACAAGGGCAACAAGTGCTCTTAATCACTGAGCCACCACTCAAGCTCCTAGACAGGCTATGAAAAGAGTCATTTCAGTGTGTGTGTATGACACACATGCACACGCAGGAACACACATGTAGCAATAAGATCACGACTCTTGCGAGGTGGTTCTTTACCATGTGAGACATAGGGCACTGAACTTGGTGAAAACTGCTTTACCCACTGAGTCGTCTTGCTGGACCAGAGGACTACATTTTATAGCTATGAAATGTTAGAGAGAAAGAGATGTAGATACTGGATGGTTTTCCTACTCACAGGTGACAAATTTTAGAATTAGACGAACAGGTCATTAAAGCTTTTAGCAGGACTTGGTGACACACGCCTGTGAACCTAGCACCGAGGGGCTAAAGCAGACTTGGTGACACACTCCTGTGAATTTATCACCCAGGGGCCAAAGTAGTAGGATTATATGTTCCAGGTCAGCCTGGGCTTTACAGCAAGATTCTGTCTCTAAAGAAGTAAAGTAAACAATAAAAACAAACTTATGTATATCAAAAAAAAATTGCTATCAATAAATGGAAATGGAGAAAGTTTCTGCAGACCATATCTATTTGGCAGAGTTATAATAAAGATTTCCCACAATTAAATTACAAAAGGATAAACAACTCAACTGAAAAATGAAGAAGCGTATGGAGAAAGATTTCTTCACAGAAGTGTACATCCAAAGCCACAGAGAAACCCTGTCTCGAAAAACCAAAAAAAAAAAAAAAAGTGTACAAATCGCTGCTTCACTCTACGGGATCAGATCTCTGGGTTCTGTGGGACCCAAAGGCATTGAAGGAACTGGACTTCTCTAGAAGGCCCTGAGAGCCCCTTGAGGCTAGAACCCAGCTCCAGCAGAGGACCTGGGAGAAATACAGGGGCAGGCCTCCAGTCCAGTGGCCTTAGAGGCCAGTGCAGGCTGTTCTGGGTTCCTTGAGACACTGGAGCTTTGGTTCCAGGGGTCCCTATGGTCAGTGTGAGTGTGAGGTTTTGATTTCTGAGGCTCCAGTGCTCACTGAATGCTGAGGGGAGTCTTTAATAGGCCTGTGGCTTTAACCTCAGCCTCCTGAGAGTACATAGGCTTCAGTGAGTCTGATGTTTGATATCCTGTCCCCAGTGGGGCCAGAGAATTCAAGGGATAGTCAAGGTTTTTACTCCATCTGGTTGTCTTGTGGCTTAGTGTACAGCCCCATCTTTGGACCTGTTGGCACACAGTCAAGATGAAATCGTCTCAGCAACTCCATCCAACAATGAACAGCAAGCCCCAAGTGGATAGCCCTCTAGCAAGATAAAACATCCAGATAAGCTTGGAAGAAGGGGGAAGTCAAAACTTAGAGACAATCCCACTCCAATAGACATATAAAACAAAACAAAGAATATAATACAACCAACAGCCATAACCCATCCACAGTCAACCTGCACCCCTGTAAGGGAACCTAAAACTGCAGACAAAACTGAAATATCTGAGAAAGAATTCAGAGACTTTTTTTTTTTTTTTTTTTTTTTGTCTTTTGAGACAGGGTTTCTCTGTAGCTTTGGAGCCTGTCCTGGAACTTGCTCTTGTAGACCAGACTGGCCTCAACTCACAAAGATCTGCCTGCCTCTGCCTCCTGAGTACTGGGAATAAAGGTGTGTGCCACCACCGCCGGGCCAGAGCCTTACTTTTTAAAAAAATTAATAATCATACAGAAGATTCAAACAGATGCATGAGCTAATAAAATCTATCCAAGACCTCAACAACATAGTCTTCAAATGAATGAGACAGTCATTAGACTGGAGGAAACATCCAAAATCTGGGGGGAAACTCAGCAAAGATATCAAAGCAGTAAAGAAGAACCAAATAGAGATTCCTGAAATTAAGGAGATGATCAAGTAAAAATCAACATAGATACCATCATTCAGATACCATCATTAACACACGAGACCACAGAGAAGGATGGATTTCAGGGATGGAGGACCAAGTAGAGACAAAAATACCAGCAGTAAGATAAGGGAGTGGAGAACTAGAGGGATGGCTTGGTGGTTAAGAGCACTGACTGCTCTTCCAGAGGACCAGGGTTCAATTCCCAGTGCCCACATCACAGTTCACAACTGTCTGTAACTCCAATTTCAGGGGACCTGACACAAATGGAAAAACATCAGTGCGCGTTAAATAAAAATAAATTAAAAAAATAAAAAAAGTTAAGGGAATGGAAGATAAGGAACACGAATGAATTTCAAAGTAATCTGGGATATATTTAAAAAGTCAATCATAATAATTCATGGTATAGAAGAAGGAACAAAGGTAAATCAAATGTAATAAACACACCATTTAATGGAATTATAGCAGAAAACTTTCCAAACACAGAAGTAGATATTCAGCCACAAGAGGTACATAGAACTTCAAATAGAGATGACCAGAGGGGCTGGACAGATGGCTCAGAGGTTAAGAGCATTGCCTGCTCTTCCAAAGGTCCTGAGTTCAATTCCCAGCAACCACATGGTGGCTTACAACCATCTGTAATGAGATCTGGTGCCCTCTTCTGGCCTGCAGGCATGCAGGCAGAATACTGCACACAAAATAAATACATAAATAAATAAATAAATAAATAAATAAATAAATAAATATTTAAAAAAAAGAAGAAGATGACCAGAGCATCTCACATCATAGTCATAGTCAGGTGTCAAAAAGACAAAGTAGTGGGATTTCGTGCCCACTTTCCCACCTCTATGCTGGGGTTTTGTCTGGTATGAGCTAGTGCTGGGCTTGTTCACACTGTCATAATTGCTACGAGTTTGTATGTGCAACTCTTCTGCTCCAGGCAGACCCTACACACAGGAGTAGTCGGGCAACACAAACTGGACTCTGGGGAAGGTGGGAGTGGGAAAAGGGAAGAACTCGGTGTTGGGTGGGTAGGTGTTAGGTTAGAACTCTGTGTTAGGTGGAGAGGGTGGAGATGGGAGGAGGGGTTGGGTGGTGAATATGGAAGAGTACATTGTATGAAATCCCCAGAAACTTAACAGCAATATTTCTGGGCATGGGAGCAAACACCATTTATCCCAGCACTCAGGAGGCAGAGGCAGGCGGATTGCTATGAGTCCAGTCGACACAGCAAGTTCCACATAGTGAGACTCTGTCTCAATACACACACACAAAAAATGAAACGGCCAATTTTATGTGATGTGCATTTTGTCTCTATAAAAAGTAAAAACTTAAATACAAAAATTGATAAGGATTCTAGAAGTCTCTTTTGTCCTCATATTTGACTTTAACACTCGATTTTCCTTGCTACAGAGAGAACCTTAATTCCCTAGAATTATCTGCATGAAAGGGTATCTCTTGCTTTAATGAAATGACTCTCAGCATGCCACTGAGTAGCTTTAGGATTTGGGGCTGGTCATTAGAAAATTTAAGCCAGGATCCAAAGCTCTACTCCCTGTCCTCCAGGGAAAATGGATAAATAACACAGCATGCCTACATAATAACCCTTGTATAAAAATTTCTTAGCAGCTAAGCTTGGAGTCTCTGGTTGGTAAATGCACTGGAGAGCTGGAAGGGTTTGTGTTCCTAAGAAGCATGGAGGCACCCCTTCCCAAAGACCTTGCTCCATTTGCCTCTGAGCGCTCATTGCATCATCCATGTTTTTTCAACGAACTGGTCACTATTAGTAAATGTTTCTCTGAGTTTTGTGAGAAGTCACAGAAAATATTGAACCTGAGGAGTGGGCTATGAAAAGAACTTGGGTTTGCAGCGGCATCTGAAGTGGAAAGTAGTCTTGCGTGGGCGCTTGAACTGGAGGGGAAAGTTATACTAACTCCAGGCAGTGTTAGAACTGAATGCAGGACACCTGGTTAGGGTGTCGAGAATTGGACGGAACGAGAAGCTGCCTCCCCACATTTGGTGTCAGCATTCTGAGAAACTTCGGTGTGCTCCCTTAAAGGACCCCCCCACACACACACAAACGGTAAGAGAGCTGCAGTCTGTCTTACCGTTCTTAGGCACCGACACAGATCCTGCCCACCAACTCACCTGACCATAGAAAGAGAGATGGTCAGCTACTGTAAAGTTATCAAACAAAATGTCATGCTGTGGGCACCAGCCCAGGCTCTTCCTAATGTAAACCATGTCTGTTGAGATGTTCCGTCCATGGACATATGCCTGTCCCTTTGAAGGAGAAATAAGACCTAGAACCAAACAGAAAAGACACCCAAAGGTCATCCTCAGGCGAGGCCGAGCAATCTCCCAAAGACTCCCTCATCCTCCTGTGCACCGTCAGTCAGAGCATCCTAGGAATGCTTCTCTGTGTGTGTCTCCTTCTGTGTGTGTGTTCCTTCTCTGTGTGTGTTCCTTCTGTGTGTGTGTTCCTCTGTGTGTGTGCGTGTTCCTTCTCTGTGTGTGTGTTCCTTCTGTGTGTGTGTGTTCCTCTGTGTGTTTGTTCCTTCTGTGTGTGTGTTCCTTCTCTGTGTGTGTTCCTTCTGTGTGTGACAGCGCTTGAGGACACACAGGAAAACCCTTCCTGCTTTGGAATTCCTGATGGGAACTTGAGCAATCCCAATCTGGCTAAGTGAATTTAATAACATAAGTCTTTGTAAAGTAAATCACATGACTACAGGGATTATAGTAAATTTATATGCTTAGTAAATACAGTGAAGACAAAAGCACTTTGGGAATCTAAGAGTTATGAAATATGATCCCCAAAGGCAAGGTTTGACTTTATTCTTATTGCCAATAAATATCAGTTTCCTGAATGAATAAATGAATGAGTGAGTGAGTGATATTACTGACAAATGCATGCCAGTATGTAACTTGGCCACCTGACTCCCTGCACACTATCTTTATCCTTATTCTTGTTAGAATGACAAGAATGATACATACTTATCACAAAAGGTTCAAAATAGGCCGGGCGATGAGGCAGGCGGATCTCTGTGAGTTCGAGACCAGCCTGGTCTACAGAGCTAGTTCCAGGACAGGCTCCAAAGCCACAGAGAAACCCTGTCTCGAGAAACCAAAAAAAAAAAAAAAAAAAAAAAAAGGAGGAAAAGGTATGATCAAAGAAACAGGCTGGAGAGAGGGTTAAGATCACTTGTTATTAGAGGACTAGGGTCAGACCCCAGAACCCACACAGTGGCTTACAATGCCAGTAACTCAAGTTCCCAGGAGATCTGGCACCCTCTTCTGGCCTCTGCAGGTACCAAGCACATACATACATGCATGCAGGCAGGCAGGCAGGCAAAACACATACATAGAAAAAAATTTAAACCAGGTGGTGATGGTGGTGGTGCACGCCTGTAGTCCCAGCACTGGGAAAGCAGAGGGCAGGCAGATCTCTGTGAACTCTAGCTCAGCCTGGCTACAGAGCGAGTTACAGGACAGCTGGGGTTACACAGAGAAACCCTGCCTCAAACAAACAAACAAGCAAAAAAGGAATCAACAAAATTTACTTTAAAAAAGAAATATATGTTGTTTAATAAGTTCCACCATGAAAAGAAAACTATAGTTACCATTTCAATACATTGCCTTACATAATTTTATACACGTTTTATGTTTATTTATACTTGCTGTGGTAGTGATAGATTGAATCTAGGGTCTCACATAGGCTAGGCAAAAGTTTTACCAATGACCTAGGCTCCCAACCCTATGCATTACTTTTATACTAAAATAGGAAAATATAAATTGTTGGGGCTTTGTTATTGTTGTTTGTTTGGTTGGTTTGGTTTTGGTTTTTGATTTTCCAAGACAAAGTTTCTCTGTGTAGCTATGACTGTCCTAGAACTCGATCTGTAGACCAAGCTGGCCTCGAGCTCACAGAGATCTACTTGCCTTCTGCTTCCCCAGTGCTGAAATTAAAGGCGTGTGCCACCACTGCCTGACCTATATGGCTGACTAGTGTGGCTGTTTTGCATTCTGGTATTCAGGCAAGCTTTATTTATTAAAATACAAGTGAAATATTACTACAAACAAGTGCTCTTAGGGACGAGGCCATATCTCCAGCCCCCTGGGGCAGGGGACAACATTTTGGAAGGTTTTGCTACTGTCTTCTAAAGCAGATCTACTTTGGCTGTGACTAATAAAGTAAAGGACAAGGCTGAAGAGATAGCACAGCATTTAAGAGCACATATTGCTTTTGCAGAGGACATAAGTTCAGTTCCTATTACCTATAAGCCCCTCGAGTTAGGCAGGTGGCCAGGCCCCACCCTTGAGGACCTCCAGCCACCAGGCTCTACCCACAGAACACTCTAACGGCTACAATGGTCTGACCCAGTTCCTCCAAATGCAGGGGTCCAACCTCTATCCTACAAAATAAAAATCCCAAACTCAGAGCTTGAAATCCCATCAATCTCCACCCTGGAAAGCTCCACCCCCAAAAATCCCTATATAAAGCCTGCCTCTCTGTGTCTCTCTGTGTCTTTCTGTGTCTCTCTGTGTCTCTGTGTCTCTCTGTGTCTCTCTCTCTCTCTCTCTCTCTCTCTCTCTCTCTCTCTCTCTCTGTGTGTTCTTTGTTGATTCTTGACAGAGAAGAGGCAGCCACCCTCTTGTGTCTTTCCCAATAATAAATCTCTGTGTAAAGTTTTTGTGTGGTGTGATTTTGTGGTATTCCTTGGCTCCTGACTGTGGGGAAGCCTTTACCCTCAGAGCTATAACACTTGCTTTGGGGAAACCTATCCCCTCGGAACTGTAAGCGGCCCAATTAGTTGTAACCTCAGCTCCAAGAGATCCGTAATCTTCCCTGGCCTGTACTGAGTTTTAATGCATATCTGAGTACATGCATGCTGAAGCCAGAGGTCATCCTAAAGTGTCATTCCTCAGGAACTGTCTACCTTGTTTTGTGGGACAAGCTCACTTACAGGGATTGGAGGCGTGTTGATCAGGTTAGGCTGGCTGGCCCAGGGATTCCCCTGCCTTCCTCCCCAGCGCTGGGATTGCACTGGGTGCTGGGGTTGAACTAAGCCATCATGCCTGCCTGGCGTTTGCTTACCTTACCCACTGAGATTTCCTCCCAGCTCCTAAAACTCATCTGAAGACCCGATGAAGCTGTTTCCTATTGCACAAATTCTAATTGGTCTTAATAATAAAGACCCAGAGAAGCAGAGCAGCCAGACACTAGTCCTTACCACTACAAAATCCTCAGAACCAAGGAGGTAAGACTCTCTACGGATCCTCAGACCGAATGCCTTGAACTCCTGTCTCCTCCCGCCTTGTCTGCTTCTCTCCACCCAGTCATCCCTTTCTGGCCCCACCTCCCTAGTGCTGGGGCTAAAGGTGTGGGCCTGGTTCTGTTTTTCTTTTAGACTGGGTCAATCTCCTGCAGCCCAGGGTGGCCTTGAACTCTCAGAAATCAATCTGTTTCTGCCCCCTGAATGCTGGGATTAAAGGTGTATGCCACCACTGCCTGGCTAACTAGTGGCTTAGCTCTGCCCTCTGATCTTCTGGAAAGCTTTATTTGTTAGATCAGAAACAAAATATCACCACAGTTTCCATTCCAGATACTGTCCATTAATCTATGAGTAAAACCACTTCAAATACCACCTGTGCCAGGTGGCCCAACTCCAACTGCGAAAACCAAATCAGCGTACACTGAGCTCCAAAAGGGCCTGCTACAGTTATGCAGCTTCACAGTTCACCTAACAAGACAAAGGATCCCCAACTCAAAATGTCAAGCTGCCTTTAAATGTCACTGTGCCCTCTGGAGGCCTGGAATGCCGCATCGGGTGCGGCACACACAGATGCACTGATGACTCAGGTGAGAGACTCTCTAGAGCCCCCTACCTGTGGGAGAGTCGCATCCCAGACATCCATCCCGGTGCTGGGAAAGAAGTCAGCCATTCATCCTACAGCCCGAGTTCTTCAGAAAGAACACACTGGACCCAGCTTCTTATTGCAGGAAAGCCCACAAAACTCGGCTTGGTGTGGAAGAGCGGGAAGCAGAGCGATCGCTGCCTCCCCACAGGCTTCCGCATCAAAGGAAAACAGCAGTGGAATAGAAATCCAAGACCAAGTCCAGGGACTGGAGAGACGGCTCAGAGGTTAAGAACACATACCGTTCTTACAGGGCACCCAAATTCAGTTCCCAGCTCACAATCACCTGTAACTCCAGCTTCAGTTGGTCTGATGTCCCCTCTAGCCTCTCAGGCAACTGAACTCACATGCACATACCTATGCAGACAAACACGCATACACATAATTAAAGATAAATCATTTTAAAGGTAAAAAGGTAGAGGGGGCTGGAGAGATGGCTCAGTGGTTAAGAGCATTGCCTGCTCTTCCAAAGGTCCTGAGTTCAATTCCCGGCAACCACATGGTGGCTCACAACCATCTGTAAAGAGGTCTGGTGCCCTCTTCTGGCCTGCAGATATACGTACAGACAGAATATTGTATGCATAATAAATAAATATGAAAAAAAAGAAGTGTTAAAAAAACTTCAAGTACAATATTTAAAAAAAAGTAGAGGACTGGGGGGTGGATGGTAACGTGCTTGCCATGCAGGCGTGAGCACTGAGTCCAGTCCTCAGCTCCCACGTAGCAGCAATGCTGGGGAGGAGTTCTGCTAGCCAGTGAGCCTCAGGTCCCTGTGCGTGAGCCACACAACAAGGTGGGCAGCTCTGAGGAATGACACTTGAAGTTGACCTCTGGTTTCCATAAACACACATCCGTACAGCCACAGGCACTCACATACACACCCCAAGGGTAAAAAGCGACACTGGTTGAGAGTAATTATAGAAAAGTCTTTATACTGGGCAGTGGTGCCCAGCAGGCAGAGGCAGGTGGGTCTCTGAGTTTGAGGCCAGCCTTGTCTACAGAGAGACAGCTAGAGCTACACAGAGAAATCTTGTCTCCAAAAATCAAAAACAAAAAAAAAGAAAGTCTTTATGTAAATTTATAATAACAGAAGAACTAAATAACTTCAGAGAAAACCCAAACTTCGCCAAGTAGAGAAACAAAGTCTATAACGCATGATGTTTGGGGCTTTTCTGCCCCCAAAAAAATATAGTATGGAGTTGGCACATACCTATAATGTCAGCACTTGGCACTTAAGGTCCTATCTGCAAAAAAATTATGGTTGTAGCCCTTTGCTAGCCAATGTCCTGAGGAAGCAGCCAGACTTTGCTTCTCCACTGAGTATCTCCAGAGCTCACGAACACTGCTATATGACCCCCCAGCGGCATCTCTTTCACCAGGCTGGAGTTAATTTTGTGTGTGTGTGTGTTGTATCATTTTGTTAGAAGTCTGTGTTAGTGCTTCTACATTCATAGCTGGCGTATTGACAGTATTCACAATTCAGCTATTTAGTCAATCAAATTGAATGTGTATTCTGTGCAAACACATTGTTCTGGCATTGTGGGTCCAGTAAGCAGGACAGCTTCTTAGGGAATGAGACAGAAATAGCATTCCCATAAACGCAGGCAAATGAATACAGACTTTGAGGAATCCTGACCACAGACCTAAGGAGCTGTAACAGGAAGAACATGGGAGGTAAACAGACTCATGGCTTCCTTGACAATCCAGCATCTGACTTGCCCCCTCGACACCTAGCCTAGGGCACAGAGGACTTCTTTTCCAGCAGTGAGAACTTCATGCACTTCTACTGGGGGGAGACAGATTCCTCAATGTAATATGTTAGGAATGGCGTTCATCTGCAGAGGTCTTACTCACCGCCAGCTGACTGAGGTGTTGACAGCTCCCCAGGCCTGTGGGATTCTGTGTGTAGGAACGGGTTGGGTTTTTGGAGCTCTTTCAAAGCTGTATGCACCCTTCGATTTTGTCCATAGTTTTATACGTGTTAAACTTCTAAAAAAATGTTTCTTGGGTGAGGTTTTGAATGTCATAGAATATCATTTTAATTGATAGGATGTGAAATAATTATTTAAGCATAGAAATTATTCCAGATGGGTATTTCAGAACACTCGCAGGGTTCATTCTAAAAGTCCCTGTGGCAATCAAAACCCAAAGATGATGTTTTTGTTGAGAAGTCTGAGATGTTGAGAGACTAACAGTGCCTCACACTGAACAGGAAAGTTTGTCTAGAAAGAACTGTTTGAACTGAGTTCTGCAGACTGAAAGGGGCAGTTATATAACTATAGCTATATACAACCAGACACTACAAAGATGGCACAACTAACACACCATCTCTAATAGTAAAGTGTCAATGAAACTTAACAGAGAAGTCCTCTGCAGAACTGACCCACACAGGTACCTGTAAGAATGGAGCAGACCGTGGTTTTCCCTGCTCCGTTGTGTCCCAGGAGAACAGTGATCTGCCCCTTGAACAGGTTCAAGCTCAGATCCTTGACTGCTACACGTTTACTCCGTCCCCTATAAAACACCTGTAGGAGAGTCAGGGTGTGACGGCAGGGTAAGGCCATACACAGAGTGTGACAAGCTTCATATCCAGAGCAACACCCTCTGAAAGTTCATCAAGCAGGCGCGGGCTGGAGAGATGGTGCAGCGGCTAAGAACGCTGGCTGTGAGCCTGGAAACAACCTAAATGCCCCTCGACTGAAGAATGGATAAGGAAAATGTGGTACATTTACACAATGGAGAACTACACAGCAGAAAAAAATAACGACATCTTGAATTTTGCAGGAAAATGGATGGAGCTATAAAACATTATTTTGAGTGAGGTAACCCAGACACAGAAAGACAATTATCACATTACTCATTCAGGTGGTTGTTAAACATAAAGCAAAGAGAACCTACAAACCACAATCCCAGAGAACTTAGACAACAATGAGGACACTAAGAGAGACTTACATAGATCTAATCTACATAGGGAGTAGAAAAACACAAGATCTCCTGAGTAAATTGGGAGCATGGGGACCTTGGGGGAGGGTTGAAGAGGGAAGGGGAGAGGCAGGGAGGGAACCAGAGAAAAATGTAGAGCTCAATAAAAATCAATAATAGGGCTGGAGTTTCAGTTCAAAAAAAAATAATAGGGCTGGAGAGATGGCTCAGCAGTTAAGAGCACTGACTGCTCTTCCAGAGGTCCTGAGTTCAATTCCCAGCACCCACATGGTGGCTCACAACCATCTATAATGAGATCAAACATACATGCAAGCAGAATACTGTATACATAATAAATAAATCTTTTAAAAAATTAATAATAATAATAATAATAACAACAATAATAAAGAACACTGGCTGTTTTTCTGGCTGTCCTGAGTTCTACTCCCAACAAACTTATAGTGGCACGGTGGCTTACAAACATCTATAATGCCCCCTTCTGGTCTGTAGCAAGCACTCATATCCATAAATTAATTAAATAAATACAAAATAAATGACCCTTCCCCCAAAAGAATGAGGAAGAAAACAAAAACCATCTACAATGTAGCTCTAATGCGAGAGACAGCAATTGTGTTTCAGTGTCTTGTTTAGACTATTTCTGTCCCCTCTGACAGCATTTGGGCTGGACTTTGGGTATGGAATACTGATACTGCTGCTGGCTGGGACTCAGATGTCACTTTTCACAAGTCATCCAATGGTGCCTGCGACCGGGTGTTATAGAAGGAATTGACACACTCCCCCAGCCTGTTAGGTCTCTATTGTTTTGAAGCAAGTGTGACAGTCTTGTTCTCTGACTTCTGTCTCGCTTTCAGTAGAGGTGCCCACGTGGCCAAATTCTCAACAAGGATAATGGGTAGTCTGCTGAGAGGAACTGGAGGGAAGGAAGGGAGGAAAGAAGGAAAGAAATGCCAAAGGAAGCGGTCTAACTTGGTCCTTCACCACAAATGAGCGACTTACTCCAGGCATCTTGCAATCACGAAAGCTCATGAAATGGGTGGTCCCGGGAAAAGCAATTATTACACACTACTCAGTCCGAAAGAACTGAGAGCTGGCTCTGCAGATCAGCTGAAATCACACAGAACCATTTGTCCCAAGACTGCCTGTTATGAAGGGAGGGAGAGAGAGAACAAGAGAGGGTCCCCAGAGAAAGTTAGGGAGACTCCTAACTACTATTACAGAGGAGCTGCACACACGCCACAGGGGTCCTGGGCTGGGATATGACCCACTGATGCCCCAGGCAACACAGGCTGAGTGGGTTGTTTGTTTTGTTTTGAGACAGTTTAATTATATATTCCTGACTGGCCTAGAACTCTCTCTGTAGACCTGGGAGACCTCAAACATACAGAGCTCTGTGTGCATCTGCCTACTCAGCTCTGGGATAAAAGGCATGTGCCACCATACCCAGCCGAGTTAGAGTTTTAAGGTGGCAATGCCAAAGTAGAGAAGGTCCCACCGCTTTCCTTTACAGTTGCAGACCAGAGAGCCCAGACAACCACACCGTAGACACTATGAGCACTGAGAGTATACCATGCTGCCGGGCTCTGTCCAGAGCCAGTCTGCAAGCACCCATGGCAGAACAACTGCCTGCTTCTGCATTTGGAAACTAACGGTGAGATCTGCTTTACATTTTGATTTGGTGGAGATGACATCCACCAAATGGCTGCATTCTGGTTTGTCTCCAATGGAGATGCTCGGTGGTGGAGGGTGAGCGGACAAACAAAAACCAGGTCAGAGCACTTCAAGCCATGTTTCCAGTTTTGGAGAGCAGGATCGATCACGTAGGGAATTACAACTCCTGATTCCAAAGAGCAGCCTGCAAGCACTGCTATCTTAAGGGGTTGTTTCTCAGGGCCCTGTAAGAAAGTTGGAAAGCCCATACCTTATACAGATGTAGGATTTCAACTGATTTTATTTGCTCAGTTGGCTCGTCCTGCATGAACTCTCTCCTTGAAGGTTTCTCCGGCTCCCCCATGTCCAGAAGTGGCAGTGTCACTGGAACAGGCCTCTTGAGACAGGTCAGGCACTGCACGAGAAGTCAACTTACGCACTAACCATTTATGTGGTTTTTCTCTTAGGGAAGATAAATTTTGGCAAATTAGACACCAGCCCCACGGGAGGTTACTTTTTGAATCAAATATTTAATGGCACCTGGAGAAGTTAATCAGCTCACTGATGGACTCATACAGTTCAATCTGTAACCCCTGGAATCCCTGGCACCGAGGAGCTCAGGAAGTGGCCTCCAGGCTCTCACTGTCCTTGGAAAGCTGCCTTACCATCCGTCATGTTCTTGGGGGTGAGACCTGGATGGGGATGCTGGTGTTACAGTGTACTTGTCTCTCCACATGCTGCAGAGATCCCGGCCCCTGGACAGGCCAGCACAGGCCACTGGGGGAGGCTGAGCGAAGCACCAGAAGTTCAATTGCTGAGAAAAATTTAGTCTGTGAATTTCTGGAACTGTGATACTGCGGTGATCCCAGAGGTCTCGAAGGGCCCTCGATCAATGCAGCTCAATGGAGAAGGGTGTGTGAGAACTCCAGCATGTTGGGAGTGAGTTCTGTGGGATAATGCGGGGCCTGGTATTCAACGGGCACACACAGGAACCCAAGGCACCGCCAGGTGCACTGTATGACGTCATCCTCCTGGTCTCACCCTCAAGTCCATTATATCAGCCATGAGGCAAGTTCAGAGAAACCGAAACTCCACTGCCCTCCACAGGCTGATAGTTAGGAGGTGAATCCAGGGTAAAGACTTACCGGTGTTTGGATATTTTTTAAAAAATAATTTATTTAACTTTACTTTATGTGCATTGGTGTGAAAGTGTCAGATCCCCTGAAACTGGAGTTACAGACAGTTGTGAGCTGTCATGTGGGTGCTGGGAATTGAACATAGGTCCTCTGGAAGAAGAGCCAGTGCTGTTAAAAGCCAAGCCATCTCCCCAGCGCAGATGTTTGGGATCTCAATTAGTACATTATTGGGAGATGGAGGAACACAGATGACAAATATAAAAATCTTCTTTTTTTCTTTTTCTTTTTTTTTTGGTTTTTTGAGACAAGGTTTCTCTGTAGCTTTGGAGCCTGTCCTGAAACTAGCTCTTGTAGACCAGGCTGGCCTCGAACTCACAGAGATCCGCCTGCCTCTGCCTCCTGAGTGCTGGGATTAAAGGTGTGCGCCACCACTGCCTGGTGACAAATATAAAAATCTTAATATCTGTCTCTAAAATAGAATCAGAACTTACCTTGGCAAGTAAGTACCAAGACTTAGGCGTTCTAAACTTTCTCAAGAAGGGAGACTCCACCAAGAAGGCTATCAGACAGTAAAGGACGGAGTCCAGCAGGAGCATCAGCAGCACCTGGAGGAAGCTGAAGTCTCCTCGGACGCTGCCTACGTTACTCCACTGGATGCCGGAGCCTGTGACACGGAAGGGAAGACAAAACCTGCTCAGTCCACAAGACTCAGCAGCCCTAATCGTAGAGACGAGGGCCTGGGGGGTCCTGATGTTGGCAAAGGGTGGCAGCAGCAGCCACAGCAACAACAATCCACTTACCAACAGGGCGGGGAGGCCCCAATTTTCCCTCAAATGTCTTTAAACTTGAGCCATCAACAGAGTGTGCTCCCCACCCTGGGGCTAGAGGTCCTTCCTCCTACAGCTATCCTTAGAAAGCACCCTCATGTACATGTCCAGAGACATGGCTCTTCGTTGATGCCAGCTGCAGTGATGTGTACAGGCAACGCTAACCATCACAGAGACCTGTTTCAATAGTACTGGGGATTGGGCCTATGACCTTGCACGCAATAGGCAAGCACTTTGCCACTGAACTATATTCCCAGCCCTTTACTTCTCTCTTTTTTTTTTTTGTTTGTTTGTTTAATAGACAAGTCTCTAAGTTTCCCAGGCTGACCATAAGCTCTCATTCCTCCTGCCTCGGCCTCTCTAGTATCTGGGATTACTTATACATGCCACCAGGCCCAATTAATAAAAATGAATAATCTTTAAATTTCTGTTTTTCATCCATTTATCCATTTGTATGTATGTGGGGGGTGTGCATGTGTACCATGGTCCATGTGTGAGGTCAGAAGAGGGAGGAGGTCAGTTCTCTGCTTCTACCATACAGGTTCTGAGGACCAGGCTCTAGTCATCAGGCTTGAAGGGACGAAGCTGAAAGCACTGAGCCCCCTCACCCCCTCACATCCCTTATCTGGTTTTGATTTTTCCTCCACTTTTGATTGGTTACTGTCTTTTAAAAAGAAAGGCAGTGAGGTCGGGGAGACGGCTCAGCAGTTTAGACAGTGGTTGATTTTCCAGAGGACCCAGGTTTGATTCCCACCACCCACGTGTTTCTTAGCCTTCTGAATGTCCCTTTCCCCATAAGCGACAGTGTTTTTGCCACTTTATTTTAAGTTACAAGAGCAAATCTCTAATGAAGTGAGTGATTTCTCTCAACATTCTAGAATAAGCTGCTGGCTAGCTACATGTACCATATGTGCCGTCTCTCATCCTAACATGCCCTACATATTATTTGATTTATTTTACATACTGACAGCAGTTCCCCCTCCCTCTTCTCCTCCCGGTCCCTGCTCCCCCTGCCCCCCTGCACCCGGCAAAGTAATTCAGCATGGGGAACAGGATCCTAAAAGCCAGATAAGTGCCAGGGTTTGCCGTATCATAATTTCAATTTGATATTTTGTGTTCCCCCCCCACACACACACACACCAGACTAACAAACCATAGACTGAAACCTTAAAAACTTTTCAAACAAATTAAGGCTGGGATCTTTCAACTCTGATCATCTCAGGTATCTGCTACGATGATGGAAATCTGACTAACAGAATATATTAAAAGGTTTGGTCACCAGAGAGATGCTACTGGGAGTAGGCAGAAACTTCATAGGCATAGCAGGAGGTGTGGCATAGTAGGAGGTGGGGCTTGGCAGGAGGCGGGGCTTAGAAGGAGGGCTTTAGGTTTTTAGAGGAGTATTCTAAGAGAAGATGAGACTTGTTCATTCCCTGGCAGTTTGCTTTGCTGTATATGTCTCTCATGAAGGTCATGAAGGGTTGGACACCTATAGGTCCAATGTAAGGAGGTCACCTAATCTTTGACTAGACTCTACATATTTGTATCAAAGTAAGTCTTTCTCTTTACAAGTTAATCATTTCAAATATTTCTTTATAATAAGATAAGGCTGACTAATACAATCCCCTAGACAAACTTGAGAAAGAGGGGACAGCAAATCAATGAGACTAATACATGTGAAAACTACTACATTCCCAGTAATGTTCAGTATTTTCTGAGCTTCTAATCATAAGGTTATATATTTCATTATCTATAGAGCTATATAAGCATATAATGTCTAATCATTTGTTTTCAAACAAAGTTTCTCTGTTGCCCAAGTTTGTCTGGATGGAATTCCTGGTCTCCAGTAATCTTCCTGCCTTCCAAGCAGCTGGGACTACTGGTCCATACCAACACGTTTGGCTCCAATTTCCTTCTTTACTACGCTTTGGCTTCCCTTCTCCTATCCATGTCTATGGACAGGCTGGCCTCAGACTCAGAGATCTGCCTCCTAAGCGTTGGGATTAGAGATTTGTCACACCACTCCCCAACCCCCCACCCCACCCCCAGCTCTTTAAGGTTTGTGAAGCCTTTAGCATCCCACAGAGTACCATAATGCAAATACTCAGAACACTAAATAAAATGAGTATGTCAATAATCTATATTTAGAAACACAGGACAGCCTGGCCCAGCTCAAAGCATGTAGGCAGCCTAAACAGAGTTTGAGGACGATCAATCTTACCTTTGGCTTCAAACAGAGAGATGAATCGGACTCCCATTGCCATGGCAACATTTGAGAAGAGGCAAGAGGTTATCTTTTCGACATAGGTCCTCTGGTGATAACTGAAAGTGATGTACAGGTAGGGGAGGTACGTGAAGAAGAAGATGATACCACCCATCACAGTTCCGACGTGTGCTGCAGAGTCAGAGGAAGAAAGATGGAGTGTTTCATCAATAACAGCAAGTTACGACGACGATACAAGCCTTGTTTCCCTGCTGGGAAAGAAAGTGTCTCTGCAACTGTTTCAGCATTTCAGAAAGGAAGCAATCTCTTTTTATATTTGCATCCTTACTAGTGAAACATGAAAGTATTTACGGCACTTTAAAAAATGAAGGTTTCTGCAATTAGTGCTGTTGCTGAATTCTGGCTTTAAGCCGTGGTGATCCCATAGGATACAGGGGGTTACTCCAGGTTTTTGTATCTGTTGAGGTTTGCTCTGTCACTAGTATGTGGTCAGTTTTTGAGAAAGTTCCATAAGGTGCTGAGAAAAAGGTTTATTCTTTTGTGTTTGGGTGGAATGTTTTATAGATGTCTGTTAAGTCCATATGAGTCATATAACTTCTGTTAGTTCCCTTATTTCTCTGTTAAGTTTCTGTCTGACAGACCTGTCCAGTGGTGTGAGTGGGGTGTTAGAGTCTCCCACTATTAGTGTGTGGGGTTTATAGTGTGATTTAAGCTTTAGTAGTGTTTCTTTTACATATGAAGGTGCTCTTATATTTGGGGCATAGATTTCCTCTTAATGGATTTTCCCTATGACAAATATGAAATATCCTTCTTCAACTCTTTTGATTGAATTTAGTTTGAAGTCTATTTTTTTTTAGATATTAGGATGGCTGCACTAATTTGTTTTGTAGGCCCATTTGATTGGTAATTTTTTCCCCAGCCCTTTACTCTGAGTCGGTGCCTGTCTTTGAGGTTGAGGTGTGTTTCTTTTTTTTTAATTTTTTAAAATTTATTTATTATGTATACAATATTCTGTCTATATGTATGCCTGAAGAGGCCACCAGATCTCATTACAGATGGTTGTGAGCCACCATGTGGTTGCTGGGAATTGAACTCAGGACCTTTGGAGGAGCAGACAATGCTCTTAACCACTGAGCCATCTCTCCAGCCTGAGGTGTGTTTCTTTTATGCAGCAAAAGGATGGATTCTGTTTCATAGCCACTCTGTTAGCCTGTGTCTTTTTTATAGGCAAATTGAGTCTCTTTATATTAAGGGATATTAATGACCAGTGATTACTAGTACCTGTTACTTTAGTTTTCATTGTTGGTGATATTATTGTGTGTGTGTTTCCCTTCTTTGGGATTTGCTGCTGTGAGATCATCTATTGCTTTTGTGGATGTAGCTAACTTCCTTTGATTGTAGTTTTGCTTCTAGTACTTTGTATAGGGCTGGATTTGTGGATAGGTATTGTTTAAATCTAGTTTTGTCATGGAATATCTTGTCTTCTCTGTCTACGGTGATTGAAGCTTTGCTGAGTATAGTAGTCTGGGCTTGCATCTGTGACCTGTGATTGCAGATTAGTGTCTGCAGTAATGCCTGACCAGACCCTTTTGGCTTTCACTGTTTCTGTTGAAAAGTGAGATGTAATTCTGATAGGTCTGTCTTTATATGTTACTTGGCCTTTTTCCTTTCAAGCTTTTAATAGTCTTTCTTTATTCTGTATGTTTAGTGTTTTGATTATGTGGCAAAGGGACATTTTGGGGAACAGCCTATTTGGTGTTCTGTAAGCTTCTTGTACTCTTATAGGCATGTCCTTCTTTGGGTTGGCAAAGTTTTCTTCTATAATTTTATTGAATATATTTTCTGTGCCTAAGACTTGGATTTCTTCTCTTTCTTCTATCCCTATTATTCTTAGGTTTGGTCTTTTCATCGTGTTCTCTGGATATTTTAGACATACCAGCTGAGCCCTTTCTTCAGTCATTCCCCTTTTTAAAAAAGATTTTCTAAAACTTATGTGTATCTTTGTGTGCTTGCATGCAACACATGCGTGCAAGTACCTACAGAACATAGAAGAGAACATCAGGAACATCTCTAGGACCTAGAGTTAAACCTGGGTCTTTTGCAAGAACACTGAGTACTCTTAACCACTGAGCCATCTCTGCAGCTCCCTGGTCTATCGTCTTATGGTGGTCCCTTTTCTAAGTTTGGTGTGAGATAGGAATATTTGTTTTTTATTTTTGAGTTTCATGGGTTATTTTATTCATTCTGGATACAAGTCTCTTGTTATTCCTAATTTTTAAAATGTTTTTCCTAGGCTATAGATCATCTCCTCGCTTTCTTTCTTTTTTTTTTTTTTTTTGTTCTTTCAAGACAGGGTTTCTCTGTGGCTTTGGAGCCTGTCCTGGCACTAGCTCTGTAGACCAGGTTGGTCTCGAACTCACAGAGATCCGCCTGCTTCTGCCTCCCGAGTGCTGGGATTAAAGGCGTGTGCCACCATCGCCCGGCCGCTTTCTTTTTCTGTATGTGTTTGCTACGTTGCTCTGACTGACCTGACACTGTTTGTAGCAAAGACTGGCCTTGACAGCAGAGCAATTGTCTTGTCTCAGCATCCCAAGCATTGGAATTATAGGCATACACCACCACTTTTTTTGCTGTTGATGATGCATGGTCTCTCTATTATATAGCTCTGGCTGTTCTGGACTCACTATGCAGAGCAGGCTGTCCTTGAAATAATTATCCACCGATTTCTGCCACCCAAATGCTAGGATTAAACGTGTGTGATGCCAGGTGGTGATGGCGCACGCCTTTAATCCCAGCACTTGGGAGCCAGAGGCAGGCGGATTTCTGTGAGTTCGAGGCCAGGATAGGCACTAAAACTACAGAGAAAAACAAAATAAATAAATAAATAAATAAATAAGTGTGTATGACACCCACATACGGCACTACAATTTTCTTGATGGAAACTTTGATAATACAAAGTTTAAAATTTTTCTGAAATTCAACTATCAATTGTCTCTTATCAGCCCAAGTGTCCCAAGAAGTCATTGTGTATGTAATACAAAACCATGAAGATTTTTCTCTTATCTTTTAAAAAAATTATTTATTCTTTGAAAATTTCATACTTAATATTTAATGTATTTTGATCATATCCACCACCCAACTTCATCCATTCAACTCCCACTGGGACGCCCTCAGCCTATGCCCCTCTTGGCTTCATGTCCTCTTTCATCTCTTACATTTTTTGTGCATGTATGTGTTCATGTGGATTTATATGTGTGTGTATGTGGAGGCCAGAGTTGATATGCAATCATGCTTCTCTTTTGGTTTTCTTTGCTAAGGGTCCCTCGTTGAACCTGAAGCAAGCCGCAGCAACAGTGTCTAATTCCTCAGAGTTAGGGTGGGGATATTTTGTACCCAGCTTTTGTCACGTAGGTCCTGCAGAGTTGGCAAACACTTCACTGAACCATCTCCATCTCCTCAGTGCCTGTATTTTATTTCAGATTTATAATCCAATTTGAGTCAATTTTTGTATCTGATGTAATGTTATCCCCACAGGCCTTCTTCTGATGTTGATCTCCAGTTGTTCCAGCATTTCTTGTTCAAAAGGTTCCATTGGTAAAAACCAGCCGGTTACCACGTTAGGTTATGTGATCTACTTTTGCTTTCATTTGTCACTTGCCCCTAGGATTGCTTCCTTCTGATTATGATTTGTGCTTCTGAATTCACTGGTCACCTTTAATTTTTAAATATCTGCTTATTTACTACACTTGACCAAAGTTTAACTTTTAAGGCTTCAAGTTTGAGAACTTTAGTAGGGGTGGCGAGACAGGGTTTCTGTCCTGGAACTAGCTCTTGTAGACTAGGTTGGCCTCAAACTCACAGAGATCCTCCTGCCTCTGCCTCCTGAGTGCTGGGATCAAACCATGTGCCACCATCGCCCGGCTCAGCCTTGAGCACTCTCAGGCATCCTTCCACGCTCGTGTCCTAACTTCTATGACTTGATATAAAGCTACGGAAGAGAGGTGGAATTCAGTCTGAATCCGTCTCCACCTCAGCAGAGTCGGTATTTCCTAGGAATCACATTTTAGAACGTGCTGTTTGATATAAAGCACTCACAAATATGAATGATACTTTTCTCTTCCCGGTTCTTGTTAACACTGTCTTCTCAGAGGCAACTGCTGAGCTCCTTTTCTCTGGATGTTTTTACCTGGAAAGGGTGGCTCACGCTTCCGTTCTCCTCCTACCGTTTCTATCCTCTATATTCTAACCTCTATTTATAGGTTTAGATGTAAGACCTCCAACGGCAGCAGATTCACAGGAAACCCTTTGTGATATCTTAGAAACCTCTTCACTCTTATGCCCCAACTTCATACTCAGGATGTGGAGGAGTTGCTATCTGAAATCCCTTACCCTTCCATTGTCTTTTAAACTGAGACTTAGTGGGGCTGGAGAGATGGCCCAGGAGGTAAGAGTAGATGCTGCTCTTCCAGAGGACCTGGCTTGGATCCCCAGCACCCACGTCAGGGGGCTCACAACTGCCTGTAACTTCAGCTTCAGGGAACCCAAGGGTCTCTTCCGACCTCCAGAACACCAGCACACACGGCACACACACAGAGACACAAATAAAAACAAACTGACACTGATTATATACCTCGATTTGAAATTATTTTAAGGGCTTAAGTATACCAAAAGATTCTATTTTTCATGTGTTTTAACAAGCTTCTAACAGGGATTGGATTTTCCCACTGCTGAGATACCATCAAACTGAAGACTTGGCTGTGGAGGAAGAAAACTCAATGCTCTAAGTAACGAGAATGACAAGGCTTTCAGGAACAAGTCATCACACCCCCAACAGAAAATGACAACAGTACTCACCGCGCTGAAAGAACGTGCTCATCATGAACGCAAAGAAAATTGTGGCAGTGGCAAAACACATCAGAAAAATGAATATCAAGCAAGGATTACTGTTCCCGAACACAGCCACGCTGTTTATCTGCAAAACAACCACAGATGTGAAGGAAGCATGATGTATCGATAAAACACTGCAGAAAATATTTTAAATTATTTAGAATTATACATAGATATTTTTAAGGCAGGCATCTGATCTGCCATCTGTTATAATTTATCAGTTATGCTATATGGGGGCTGGAGAGATGGCTCAGCAACTAAGAGCCCTGGCTGCTCTTCCAGAGGACCTGGTTAGGTTCCCAGCACACACATGGAAGCCCACACCTGTGTGCAACTCCAGTTTCAGGGGATCTGTCTGTCACCCTCACACCAATGCACATAAAATAAAAATCAGTAAATTATTTTTAAAAAGTTATGCTATGAGCAGTTTTCAAGGAAAAAATAAGTTTGGATTCAATTTTTGCCCTAATGTGGATTTTTTTTCCTTTGGGGGCGTTATCGTGGGTATTGAGCTAAGGGCCTTAAATATACCAGGCATGTGTTCTACCTCTGAGTTACACCGCCAACAAAAGTCGAGGTGTGTGTCACATGATCGCTGTGACATACACTTGGTGCTCCTTCTGCTACCTCGTGTCTTCTGTTTTAATGCTTTCTGGTTATTTCCTTTGTCGAAATAGTTTCCTATTTAGTCTGAGCTTTTCTTTCTTTCGCCACACTGACACAACATTAACAATTTAGAAGGTTTTTATATATCCAAGTTTTTACATATCCAAGTTTTTATATATCCAAGTTTTTATATATCCAAGTTGTGGATTATTAAATTCAAGCAGGCAAATGTTAATATCAAACCCTATTGGCATGCCTTTAATCCCAGCACTCGGGAGTCAGAGACAGGCAGATCTCTGTGAGTTTGAAGCCAGCCTGGTCTACAAGAGCTAGTTCCAGGACAGGCTCCAAAGCTATAGAGAAACCCTGTCTCGAAAAAATAAAATAAAAGCAAAAACAAAACCGACCCCCCCCCAAAAAACCCCATTGGCAGCATAAAAGAAAAGCATGGTACCATGGAAGCAAAATAATGTTTTACAGTAACTATTTTCATCTATTGTTTTGTGCAGTTTTTTGTTTTTGTTGGTTTTTTTTTTTTTTTTTTGAGACAGGGTTTCTCTGTGTAGCCCTGGCTGGCTGGCCTTGAACTCACAACAATCTGCTGCCTCTGCACCCAAGTGCTGGGATTAAGGCCTGTGCCACCACCACCCAGCTTTTTGTTTTGTTTTGTTTTTCTGCCCAGCTATTTTCAACTATTGTACAGAATGAAATTTATCTTTTAACGTTTGTAAAATTGTGGGGCTGTTCTGGTTATTTCTAGAGGGGTTCCCAGGTGTCCACTGGGATGTCCCCAGCTAGGTCCTTGGGCAGCAGAGGAGAGCATGCCTGAACTGGCCTTGACCCATAGCCACAATGATGAATATCTTGAATATCACCATAGAACCTTCATCCGGTAATGGATGGAGACAGAGACAGAGACCCACACTGGAGCACTGGACTGAGCTCCCAAGGTCCAATTGAAGAGCAGAAGGAGGGAGAAGATGAGCAAGGAAGTCAGGAAGTCTGAGACAGTGGGGCTGATCTAATGGGAGCTCACCAAAGCCAGCTGGACTGGGACTGAAAGAGCATGTGATCAAACTGGACCCTCTGAATGTGGCTGACAATGGGGACTGACTGAGAAGCCAATGACAATGGCACTGGGATTTGTCTCTACTGCATGTACTGGCTTTTTGGGATCCTAGTCTGTTTGGATGCACACCTTCCTAGGCTTGGATGGAGGGGGGAGGACTTTGGACTTCCCACAGGGCAGGGTACCCTGCCCTCTCTTAGGACTGGAGGTGGGAAGGGTGAGTGGAGGAGTGAGAGGGAAGTGGGAGGAGGGGAGGAAGTGGAAAATTTGAATGGTATTATTTATAAAGCAATAAAAAAATGTGGGGCTGGAGAGATGGCTCAAGGATTAAGAACACTAGTTAGCTGTTCTTCCAGAGGTCCTGAGTTCAATTCCCAGCAACCACATGGTGGCTCACAACCATCTGTAATGAGGTCTGGTGCCCTCTTCTGGCCTGCAGGCATACATGCAGGCAGAATACTGTACACATAATAAATAAATAAATCTTTTAAAAAATCTTTAAAGTTTGTAAAAATGCATTTTGTGATCCTCAAGTTCCTTCTACTAGATTAGGTACGACAGCACAAGAGTGAAACCCAGCACTTTAGGGTAAGGCTGAGAATGAACACAAATTCAAGTCAGCCTGGCTCGTACAGTGGGTGCTCGGCCAGCCAGGGCTCTGTAATGAGCCTCCTTCTCAAAAAGAAAAGGAATAGAAATGGGAAGAAGAGGAGGAAGGATGCTTAATTCCCCAGAATTTCAGCCAATACCACTGAATATTCATCAGAGATTTTCCAAATGGTCGCCAACAACAGTATCACCCATACCATACCAGGCTCTCTCATATCCATTCAGAGCTCACCATATTCTAAAGAATAAGCATACCTTTGTGCAGAAAAGAATGGTCATAACAGAAACAGCAATTAAGGCAGAAATGAAGAACGTGATGAACCAGGCAACCCAGTGCAGCCAGCTCTCCAAGCCCATCATACACATATATTCCTGGAGGCAGGGAAAGAGCCGAGTGTTAGAGTCTTGTCACTCATCCTAGGTAGTCTGGGACATCGCTGACTCAGTAAGTTAGGACGACAGGCTGGGTGTCTTGGGGAGAAACAGCTACTGGGGCTGATGGAGACGGACGCAGCCAGAAGGCGAGAGAATAAACAGGGAGGGTGCTTGGCTCAACTACGGCAGAGGAGGCACTGCATAAACCAACTTTAAATTTAAAACTAATTGCTAGGAGAATTTAGAAGTAGGACACATAAGGAGTTCAGATTTTAAAGCAAAGTATAGTAATCTATTACTATAATGCCAGCATTTGGGAGACAGAGGCAGCAGAATTTGTCAGAAGTTCAAGGCCAGTCTAGTATATGTTACAGGCCAGTCAGGTTCTATATTGAGATCTTGTCTCAAAAAAAAAAAAAGTTTGGACTTTATTCTCAGGGCCATTTACTTGCAGGGGACATTCAGTAAATGAATGAACTAACAGTTTATTTATCATTGGAATTCTAGGCCTGAGCCAGCACGCCTAACTTCCACAATGTTAAATTAATCCGAAAAGAATATTCGAGTATAAAGAACAAAAACATGACCAAAGAGTAGACATTTTATGTCTACCAGCTTCTACACAAATTTGCTGTTGAAGCAAAAAATAGGGAAGATCCAATTCTATCACAGGAGTGGGAAATAAGTGGGTGTGCTAGCCGCATGACAGAAGCTCCTCATTCCCCAGGGCTTTTCAGTGAGTATGAAGTTGGACAGAGCATCCATCCCATAGGCAGCCTCAAGACGCACCCTGGTCGGTCTGCCTCTTCCTCCTGACTGCAGAGACAGAGCAGGCCAGGGCAAACAGCTCTCCAGCTACAGATGTCGTCAGAGGCCCAGAAAAGCTTCAAAAGAGATTTTAATACGCAATCATAATAATCACTAAAAAAGAGAATGAAATTTGGGCTGAAGAGATGGCTTATTGGTTAAAAGCACTGGCTACTCTTCCAGAGTTACTGAGTTCAATTCCCAGCACCCACATTGTGGGTCACACCATCTCTATCAATTCCCAGCACCCATATCGTGACTCACAACCATCTCTAACTGTAGTTGCAGGGGAACCAGTGCCCTCTTCTGGTGTACAGATGTACATGCAGGTGAAAACACCCTACACATAAAATACATAAATTTAAAAATTATTTTAAGCCAGGCAGTGGTGACTCACACCTTTAATCCCAGCACTCGGGACACAGAGGCAGGCGGCTCTCAGTGAGTTCAAGGCCAGCCTGGTCTACAGAGTGAGTTCCAGGACAGGCTCCAAAGCTATAGAGAAACCCTGTCTCGAAAAACCAAAAAACAAAAAACAAACAAAAAAAATTATTTTAAAAAGAGAAAAAAATTAAAGAGAAGATTTTATCCAGATAAACCTTTAGCACTGGGGAGGCCGAAGCAAACGGACCATGCGTGCATGGTCAGCCTGGATAACACAGTGGGTTCCGGGTCACTACTGGCTACCGAATGAGACCACGTCTGAGAAACAAGAGCCTAAGCAATACAAGATATTTTTTAAAGGTTAGAACACGAGAAAAGAAGGAATAGAGGTTGTGTAAACAGATGAGCACAGGAAGTGAGTAGTGAAACCAGTTTCGGGACCAACTCAGAGGGAACAAATCCTGTCTTCGGTTGTATTTTCCTAGAAGATGCTTCTCAGACATCTTGCCACAAACTGGTAGTGGGTTAACTGTGGCTGAAAATCCCCTCTGTGTGGACACTGAACGCCTGCCCTGCTAGCGACAAGGTGCTAACCGAGCAGACCTACTAGGCTGGGCAACCCAAAAGAAAGACCATGTGTGATAAGAGACGGGGCTCCCTAAACTGCTAGCAGGATAAAAATATGAGAACACCTCTGCTTTTCAGTTCACCCGAGGCTGACGAATCCCTCCACGTGCTTGGGCCTCAGTCCCCCGAGACATTTCATTAGCATCCTCCCCATAGCCCTGTCCTTCCCCTCTGAGTGGACAGAGCTACCTTCACTTTCCTCTCCTTCTCCAGTGAAACGGAACTGATGATTATGAGCTCGACGCAGATGAAGCTGAGCATGAGCAGCAGAGGGAACTCATTCTGAAGGATCACTAAGAATGGGTCCTGGATATGGGGCCCAAACGGGAATCTCTGCAACAGTACTTTGAGATCCTTGAACATGTTTTGTGTTGCATTGGGAGCATGGTGCCGCATGATGGCTCTGTCTACTGCATGCTGTATTGATAGGAAGCCTTCTCCGTTGTATCCTGCAAGAAAGCAGAATATCACGCATAAGAAAGGCTGATGATCAAAATGACTGAAAACTCAGGTGGATCCTGGCTAGTCACTAAGACAGACAACAGCCAGCAGGTATTCTTAGGGGGGGTCTCATGATATCACAGAGGTCAGAGAGGAGCCACTTTGGAGAGTCATGGGAATGAAGCGGGATCGTCTCCCTTCATTCTCCACCTCTGTGGACAGAGCACCTGTTCTGTAGTTTTGATTATACAGTAAACTCAGAACAGTTAGACTCAAAGCACCTGAAAGACGCAGACTTCCTGTGTTGTGACTGCTGTATGTTGCTGGCAAGCCACAAACACTGTCTTTATCATAAGCAACACTCATTTTATCAGTGTAGTTGGTGTGCCAGGATCAACTTTTAAGAAAAATAGATTGCAAGGTAAGGATCCCGAGTGGTTACCTAGTTCCAAGCAAGGGTAACCAGCCTCCATGGAAGGGCAGTAGAGTAGTACAGAGCCCTGCAATAGAAGCCACCACAGTGCCCCATTGTCTAGACACAGGCAGATCTCCAGATCTGTCAAACTGGAAGGGAAGGGCAAATTGCTGGCAACGAGCCCTGGATATTGCTATGCATTCTTATTTGGTTTGTATGTGTGTTTTCACTAAACAATTATAGGGTATTTTCTAGAACCAGAGTAAATACTTGGGAACTTAGGTTTGGATTCTAGTTGGTGGGCATGCAGACACAAGACTGAAAGACAATTGTGTGGTCATCCTATAACGAGGGGCTGATGATCAATTTTGGAAGAACAGTTGCTTGACTGGTGGGAGGTCAAGAAACCTAAAATGAATTGGAGAACGTGTATTCTGCATGTGAGGAATGGCTCCTGGGCCCCCACTCGGGGATATGCTGCTTCATGTGGACAGCATCTCAGTTATGGGCCATCACTTCTTCATAAGTCTGGAATTGCCAGAGAGGTAACTGGGGGCTGCCATGGAAGGGGCGGGTCCAGGGAAAGCGGGTGCCAAGTAGGGATGTCTGCACTGTTAGATACAGTTGTGTCCATTTCCACAGCAGAGAACAAGATGACAGGAAGCAGACACTGAGAAAAGCTCTCCCCTACTCTTACTGGAGAGCTACGAGAAGAAAGTCAGCAGCGCTTCTTGCACAGAAAGATTACAGAATCTGGGAGTTACAACCCAGCTTTGGAGCCATGTGTTATACCTGATGTGGCATATGCCTGTTATTCCCCTCTGTATGCTGTGAATATGTTTTATTACCATTGGTTAATATAGAAGCTGCTTTGGCCTATGGGAGGGCAGAATATAGCAAGGCAGGAAATAAAAGTAGAGATAGAGGAGGAAAGAAGGCAGAGTCAAGAGACACCATGTAGCTGCCCAAGGAGAAAGATACCATAACCTTACTGGTAGGTCACAGGCTCATGGTGATACACAGACTAATAGAAATGGGTTAATTTAAGATGTAAGAGCTAGCTAGGAATATGCCTGAGCCAGTGGCCAAACAGTGTTGTAATTAATATAGTTTCTGTGTGATTATTTGGGTCTGAGCAGTCAGAAAACAAAAGAACAGTCTGCGTTTACATATGCATTAGGACACAGGAGCCCCTAGGAATACCTCACCTTCAAATTTTAATGTTATCTGCTTATCCTGAGCAAAACAGTAAGGGGAAGGGCACTTTCTTAGGGTATGAGTCCAAAGTGGGAGACAAAAGAGTGGAGCTTGTCATGCGATCTGAAAAAGAGGCAGCTAGTATTCTCCAGCTAGTTGTGGGTGAGCAAAGTGGATAGAATTAGAACCAACGAGAGATCTAAAGGTTCAGAAAGAGCAATAAATTCAAGTGTTCAGCATCCACTCCACCCTGCCTGCCCCCACCACCCGCATGTGTGCACAGGAAGAGGCCAGACTCAGGTGTTGTTGCCCAAGAGCCATCAACAAGGTCTCTCATCGGGACCTGGGGTTTGTTAATCAGGCTAGCCTGACCAGTGAGCCCTAGGAATCAGCCTGTCTCTGCCTCCCAGGACTGAGATATCTGGCAGGCATGTGAGATGCTAACCTCTTTCCTCAGTGCTGTAAAAGTAAACAAATGGGCTGGAGAGATGGCTCAGAGGTTAAGAGCACTGGCTGCTCTTCCAAAGATCATGAGTTCAATTCCCAGCAACCACATGGTGGCTCACAACCATCTGTAATGAGATCTAGTGCCCTCTTCTGGTGTATAGGCACACATGCAGGCAGAACACTATGCTTACTAAATAAATAAATCATTTATTTGTTTGTTTGTTTGTTTGTTTGTTTTTCGAGACAGGGTTTCTCTGTGGCTTTGGTGCCTGTTCTGGAACTATCTCTTGTAGACCAGGCTGGTCTCGAACTCACAGAGATCCACCTGCCTCTGCCTCCCTAGTGCTGGGAATAAAGTCGTACACCACCACCGCCTGCCATAAATCATCTTTAAAAAGTGAATAAACAACAGCACAGGCCTAGAGGTATAGCTCATTAGTAGAGTGTTAGCCCAATACGTGGAAAGCCCTGGGTTTGATCCCCAAAACTGTAGGGTTTGGGGAAGGGGCAGAAAAACGAGTGCTACTTACAGGGAGAGAAGGGAGGTCACAGAAACATTACATATTCACAAAATGTAAGTCATGTTTCTGTCATGATGAACGCTACACCTTCCCTAAATAACTGGCCGTTCTTGTTATACTTATGGTTCAACTCTGGTCCTGCACGTGGGTTCTCAACAGCGACCAGGTGGCTGCGCTCAAGGTCTCCCTAATTCTCTGGCTGAGTCCTGGTCCCTAACCACACCATCAGGCAGAGGCTGGTGTGGCAGAAAGCAGCATCTGGGGACCATGTGTTCTCTAGCCTCTGGGAGGCCTTTCCTGTCGGTAACCTCGGAAGTAACCATTATACCAAGATGAATTCCCATACATCTCTAACAGTCAGCAGCGCCTGTTAGTTCTGGCAGTACTAGAGACTCAACATGAGGGGTCTCATGCTAAGGCAAGTACCACTGAGGTATGCCTCCTTCCCGGGAGTACTTTCCTAAATTGAAAAGAAAAAGGTAGAGGAGTCGTTATTTTACAGGAATTTCAACAAATTAAAGAAATTCGCTTGAGCTGTTTGTAGGGAACAGTGGCAAACATACTTTAAAAAGCAGAGCCTTACAAATATAGAAGCACACGCCCCTGTTCTTGTAAAATGCTTTCATTCTTTCAAGCAATTCAATGCCATTATAAGCAATTAAAATACATACCTGCTGTTTTTTACCTTATACTGGAATATAAGCATTTTATTGAACGCCACATTTTGCAAAGGCAGCTCCTTGGACCTCTACTGAAATGCTAATCTTAGGCGAGCATCCAGTTAGCCAAACAGTATCACAAATATGTGGTACAGGGCAAATGTGGCTGTGCTCACGGTAATATTACAGGCTTCAGAGTTTCCTCACCAGGGCTTCCCCCATCAGCATATGCAAATTCCCGGGGTTCTTGGCTTAGATTAGGAGGATAAAGAAAGGCTGTGCACCAGCCTTCTATCTCCTCTTGAAAAATGAAATGCCTCCGTTGTGCGAAGTTCCTCTGAACATAACTGAAGCGCAAGTCATACTTAACCTACGAGAAACAGAGAGAAAACATTGGCCACGAGATCCTGGAACTCGGCAATGGTACACGACAGAGCAAAACTCTTTGTCTTAACTCCTTAAGGCCACATAGACAGGTGTCCCTCCTGGAATCACACAATGGTCTACCTTGTATTTCTCTGCAAATTATCCCTGTGACCAACCTGGGAAAGGAACTGTAGAATACTCTGGAACCAGGTCACCTAGACCTCAGCCCCAAATTTCTTATTAAAATGCAGTCACCCTGGTCAAGTTACTTAATCTTAATCATTTTTTCCTCGGCTCCTTCAGCGTGAAAGGGGGATGGAAACAGTCTCTGACCCATTAGCTGCCTGGAGGGTTACACGATATGGTATCTGACATATATGTCATTAACACATGCTTGTAAAATACGGTTGGTTTTTATTAGTCACGGTGCAAGTTCTAAAAGTCATTCAACTGCCTGTATAGCACAAAAGCTACACACAAGTGTTTCACCCATAGCAAAACACAAATCAAATATTCTTGTTTAACATACTACTTTTGTTTTCGGGTTGGTTTTTTTTTTGTATTTGGTTTTCGAGACAGGGTTTCTCTGTAGCTTTGGAGCCTGTCCTGGAACTAGCTCTTGTAGACCAGGTTGACCTCAAACTCACAGAGATCCGCCTGCCTCTGCCTCCCGAGTGCTGGGATTAAAGGCGTGCGCTGCCACTGCTCAGCTAGAACAGATTTCTTTTAAACAGTCTGGAACAACTGAGTGGGCTGTAAGATGTGAAGGTGGAATGTCCACTCGTTTCCTCTGGAATAAGTCAACAAAGCTGCCATGGAAGAAAGCTGGAGGGCGGAGAACCTGACTGACCCACACTGAGGATGTAACCACATAGTAAGGTTGTTACAGGGGGCCAATTGGTGTGGCGCTCGCTTTTAATCCCAGCACTCGGGAGGCAGAGGCAGGCAGATCTCTGTGAGTTCGAGGTCAGCCTGGTCTACAAAGCAAGTTCCAGGACAGCTAGGACTGTTACACAGAGAAGCCCTGTCTTGAAAATCACCCCCCCCACACACACACACACACAATCATTATAGGTTGCTATAGGAAGGTTATCTTACCATAAGTGGCAAAGGTTCATTGCTGCTATTGAAGCTGTGGTCAAAAACAATTCCTACCAGTATGAAGAAAGACTTGGGATCCTTAATTATATAGTTTTCAAATAAAGGCACTGAAGGAAAGCCTACAACTACAAAGAGAAAAACCCAGTTAGTGACTAGCTGGCATGAAAGCAAGTGATCCCACAAACCGTCATCCTAAGGGGATTTCAGATTCCAGCCTGTTTCATCATTCACTCAGTCATTCTGCACACACACGAGCAGAGAGAGACATACACTCGAAATGAAATTAGTTAAAAGGCATGGCTTTTAGCCAGGTGGTGGCACATGCCTTTAATCCCAGCACTCTGGAGGCAGAGTTTGAAGCCAGGCTGACCTACAGAGTGACTTCCAGGAGAGTCAGGACTACACAGAGAAGTCGCATCTTTTGTTTTTGTTGTTGTTATTCAGTTCGGAATGTATAGTGCAGTCCACAACTGTCTGTGAATCCCGGAGGGAAAGGGCTAGCTCTTACTCATTATCGCGTGTAACATGTTAGTGCAAGAGCATGTGGAGGTCACGGCAAAATTTTCCAGTCGGTTCTCTTCTTCTTCTTTATGTAGGTTCCAAGGATTGAATTAAGCTGTCATATTTATGTGGCAAGCCATGGAGCCATGTTCCTGACCATAATAGCAAATGCTGTGTTTATATATTTACATAATTAGAAAAAAGGATAGAAAATGTGTCATATAAAATAATACTTTTCATTGTTATTGTTGTTGTTATAAGGTTATTGTTCTTTTCTTTACTTAGCATATTTAGGTCTCTTCCTTTCTATTTTTTTTTAATTTTTTTCACTGTCTATGGTGGTGCAACAGCACTCCTAGGACTTAGCAGGCAGATGGATTTCTGTGAGTTCAAGGCCAGCCTGTTCTACATAGTGAGTTCCAGAGCAGCCAGGATTATATATTAGACAGGCTTTGTCTCAAAAAGAAAAACCAACTAAACAAAAAAGTCAAAAACAGTTTTTATAGAGTTTCTATGTTCAATTGTTCTGGGTTTAAAAACTGTATTTTTTAAAATTTTTGAGAATTTCATATAGTGTATTTGATCATATTTATTCCTACTCCTCCCCCAATGCCTTCCAGATCCACCCTACCTTCCTACCCAACCCAATTTATATCTTTATTTTTTTAATAGCCCACTGAATCCAATTTATGCTTTCCATATTCTCCTGAGTGTGGCTAAAGTCAACTTCTCAGGGGCCACACAGGGTAACTCAGGGTAGCTCTGACTATGTAGCCCAATCATCCTCATCCTAGAACTCATTGTATAGACCAGGCTGACCTCCAACTCACAGAGATCTGCCTCCAGAGTGCTGGGATTAAAGATGTGGGTCACCACACCAGGACAGACGGAGTCTTCCTCCCTTAGAATCCATCAGTTGTTCCTAGCCCCTTAGCTGGGATGAGGCTTTTGAACCCCTTCTCCTCCTAATCCAGGGTGGAGACTGGCTTAGGTTTGTGCAGACAACCACTGTGAGGTCCTGTCGTGTGCAGAAGACAGTTTCAATCCCTTCTTCCCTCACCAACTCTTAGAATCCTTCTCCGTCTCTTCCAAGGTGGTCCCTGAGCCTTGGAGGGACACTGGTGTCCCATTAGTGGTTGAACACATTCACACTTAAACTGAAAATCATATGCATACACAAGAAACAACCATTCTGTTTAATGAAGTTATAACCGCCAAGGGATCTACCTCTTTGATCAAGAAATATCCAGATTTTTAGAACTTAGTTTATTACTTAATTAGTTCTTTTTTTTAAGATTTATTTATTTATTATGTATACAGTATTCTGCCTACATATATACTATAGGCCAGTAGAGGGCACCAGATCTCATCACAGATGGTTGTGAGCCACCACGTGGTTCCTGGGAATTGAACTCAGGACCTCTGGAAGAACAGTCAGTGCTCCCAACCTCTGAGCCACCTCTCCAGCCCTTTAATTAGTTCTTTAATGAACTGAAGAATATCTACTTAGTAGTTTATTCATATTGCCTTTATTACTGAAGGGTTGATTCAAATAACCTGTCTACCAACTGTTTTCAGGATGTTTGACCGAACTGTGACACTCTGAGATTGTGTTAATAAAGTTAACCTTGAATCAGGGGGCAGAGTCAGAGACTAGTTGCTGGGAATTAGCCATAGAGAAGCCATAGGGATAGAGAAGACTCATGGGAAAGTTAGGCTGGGACTTGGTGTTTGACACTTCCTTTTAATTTGGAACAAGTGAAGAGACTCGCCTCTTGCTGGGACTCCAGTCAAAAAGGAAGGTCAGCTGGTTGTTTCTCAGCCAGTTTAAACCCACATATTGCAAGCAAGCACTGCAGAGCCAGGGGTCCTTCCAGGCTGCAGCCTGAGTGACAGGTAGGCTGCTGACTTTGGAGACATGGGGCCATAGACAATAGTTAAAACATCAGTAGATTTCATGTGCAGTCGAGAAGCCAGCAGAGAAACATCAACCCACAGTTACCTCTTTTTCAGAAATTCCTAGGAAGTATCTCTTGTAGTTTCACTGCCCCTAAGCTCTGGCCCTGGACCAGTCATAACAAGGGATGGCAAGAGCTGCTCAGTGGTTAAGAGCTTGGGGTGCTCTTCCAGAGAATCTGGGTTTGAGTCCCAGCATCCACATGGCCACTCACAGTTCCAAGAGATCACATGTCATCGTCTGACTTCTGTGAGCATTAGGTACACATCTGATGATACATGACATCCATACACATAAACAATAAAATGATAGGCCAGGTGGAGGTGGCGCAGGCCTTTAATCCCAGCACTCGGGAGACAGAGGCAGGCAGATCTCTGAGTTCAGGGCTAGCCTGGTCTACAGAGCAAGTGCCAGGACAGCTAGGGCTATTGTACAGAGAAACCCTGTCTCCAAAAACCAAAAACCAAAACCAAAAAAAAAAGTCAGACGCAATAGTATGAAGAAGTGGTGGAGAGAGGAAAATCCCCTGAAATTCATGGGCCAGTGTATTGAGGTTCTCTAGAGAAACAGAACTTTGTAAAACCACACATAAAAATGGGGTGCAATATAATGGCTAACAGGGTGGTTAGCTAGTCCAACAATGACTGTCTATTAATGTAAGGGCCAAGGATCCAGCAGCTGTTCAGTCCACAAGGCCGATGTCTTGGCTGGTCTTCAGAATAAGCCAGAATCCCAAAGAAGTAGGCACTGAAGGAATGGACTTGCCAGCAAGAGCAAGTAGGCAAAGGGCAAGCAAGTACTTTCTTCTTCCATGGCCTTTATTTGGGCTACCACCACCAGAAGGTGTGGCCCAAATTTAAAGTGGATCTTGCCACCTCAGAAGATGTGGGTTAAAAGAGAGTCTTCCCACTTCAAATGATTTAAGAAAAAAATCCCTCACAGACATACCCAGGCATTTGGGTTTTAGTTAATTCCAGATGTCGTCAAGTTGACAACCAAGGATACCTATCGTGCCAGCTAGTCTGGTGTATGTAGCAGAAAAACAATGGAGAAACCCTATTTCAAAAAGATGGAAGGGCCGATTGTGGTGGTGCCCGCCGGTAAAATTTGCTGAAGGAGGCAGAGGCAGGAGGATCACAAGTTCAAGGGCTACACATTAAAAAAAAGGAAAGGCCCACCATCTGAGGTTATCCTTTGCTTCCACATGTACAATAGCATGTGCACACCTAAATTTATTCCCCTTTTTTTTCTTCTCCCCACTTCAATCTCTTTTTCAATCTCCTCCCTTCTCTCTCTCTCTCTCTCTCTCTCTCTCTCTCTATCTCTCTCTCTCTATCTCTCTCTCTCTCTCACACACACACACACACACAGAAAGAGAGAGAGGATTCATGGGGCTGGAGAGATGGTTTAGTAGTTAAGAGTATGTGTTGCTCTACCAGGGGGTGGTGGAGCACCCCTTTAATCCCAGCACTCAAGAGGCAGAGGAAGGCAGGCAGATTTCTAAGAATTGAGAATTGCAACGTAGCCAAAGGACAGTACAATGGCCTTAAAATAATCATAAATAAGAATGATAAAGAGGATATGAATAATACCCTTATATAAAACTATGAAGACACAAACAGTGGAAGGAAATAAATAAAAAAAGACCTGAAAATGGAAATCGAATCAATAAAGAAGACCTACATTTAGGAACTGAAACAGGGACTTTAGAGGCAAGTCTCATCAAAAGAATACAAAAGATGGATGAGAGAATCTCAGGCACGGAAGAAAGAAATGATACCCCAGTCAAAGAAAATATTAAATCTAAAAAAATCTTGGCATGAAACCTCCAGGAAATCGGGGATACTAGGAAAAGACCAAATCTAAGAACAATAAGAATAGAGGAAGTAGAAGAAACCTAAGTCAAAGGCACAGAAAGTTTTTTTTTTTTTTTTTGGTTTTTCAAGACAGGGTTTCTCTGTGGCTTTGGAGCCTGTCCTGGAACTAGCTCTGTAGACCAGGCTGGTCTCGAACTCACAGAGATCCGCCTGCCTCTGCCTCCCGAGTGCTGGGATTAAAGGCGTGCGCCACCATTTCCCGGCCACAGAAAGTATTTTAAATAAAATCATAGAAGAAAATTTCCCTAACCTAAGGAAGAAGATAACTATCAAGATACAAGAAGTTTACAGGATACCAAATAGACTGAACCAGAAAAGAAATTCCCCCTTTCTACATAATATTCAAAACACCAAACATACAGAATAAAGAAAGAATATTAAAAGCTAAAAGGGGAAAAGTTTTATTAGAAAAACACCGAACTTCTCAGTGGAGACTCTAAAAGCCAGAAGGGCCATGACAGATGCTCTACAAACACTAAGAGACCACAGATGATGCCAGCTCAGAGTACTATCCCAGCAAAGCTTTTGGTCACAAAAAATGGAGAAAATAAAACATTCTATAATAAAATCAAAGTTAAAAAATATTTATCTCCAAATCCAACCCTTCAGAAGCTGCTAGAAGAAAAACTCTAACACAAAGAGATTAACTACACCCAAGAAAACCCACAGAATAAATATCCCAGAAAGCAAATCAAGAGGGAAAACATACACAGAATGCACACATACACACACCTCTACTCACATCCATAACCAATCAATGTAATAAAACATTTTAGTGCAATAAGGAAAAGTGAAATGCCCTCCCTACTCCATCTTATATCTGACCTTCAAAGCCAACAGTGAAGGCTTGGTCCACCATTTCAGTAACGCTTTTCAAAGTCCCGCTTTTGGAAGGGATATAGGCCAACTGATATTTACTTCTCGTCGGATAATAATCAAAATATATTGGCAGAAAACTGATATCAAATGCTGGGTACTTAGTAGTTGATACGTGTTTTGGCATACTATTGAAACGAAGATACAGTACAATTGCAGAAAACAGTAATGGCATCAGGATTTCGAGAACTGTTATCAGAGTCTTCCGCTTCTGAAACAAAAACAACGGCTACTCGTCACTCCCAGATGAAACTCCAGTGTGACTTCTATGGGGTAAGCATTCTTCTACTTAGAAAGCTGGAGAAACCTTCTAAGTATTTTCTTAGCATACATGAAGCATGATCCCCAGTATTTAATAACCCAAATGTAGCAATTCACATCTGTAATCCTAGCACTCAAGAGGTTTAAAGGCAGACCTATCAGAAATTCAAGGTCACCCTTGGCTACTTAGGAAGTTTGAGCCCACCCTTTGATATACAATTGAGACCCTGTCTCAAAACAAGTGCACAAACAAAAACAAAAAATCTCTTTTGTTTCTTCTAGCCTTCCTATACAAAGCACACACAAAAAAAAGGTAAAAGACAGAATAAGAGCTAGCTAGGCATCTCCATTTAATACTGCTTCTAAACCATCAAGAGTTAGAAATCAACAAGAATTGTTTTTCATAATGAGACCTCACAGAATTACTGTGGGAGTGTGAACTTATAGAAATGAAATTCTTTTTTTGTTTGTTTATTATGTTTTTCAAGACAGGGTTTCTCTGTGTTACAGCCCCAGCTATCCTGGAACTTGCTTTGTAGACTAGACTGGCCTTGAACTCACAGAGATCTGCCTGCCTCTGCCTCCGAGTGCTGGGATGAAAGGTGTGTGGTCACTACCACCCAGCTAGAAATGAGATTCTTAATTGTTCTTCAACTCATTAGTAGTGATTGTAATTTCAACTTGACAGAATCTAAAATCACCTAGAGACGGGCCTCTGGGAATGCCTGTGGGGAGAAAACTGGCTCAGCATGAGCGGGACCACTCTGTAGCTAGGATCTCGGACTGTGTAAGTGGAATATGGGGACGGAATAACACCCACTGTCCTCTGCTCCTTACCGTGGATGTGATGTGACCACGTGCTTCAAGCTGGCACAATGGTGTCCCCACCTTTAAGCTGTGAGCCAGAATAAACCCCTTCTCCCTTGAGCTGCTTCTGTCAAGGTGACTTAACACAGGAAGAGAAGCTAAAATTGTAACTTATTTAACTCAAACACGCAGCTGCTCCAGAGGACCCACATCTTCCCCATGGATAAGTGTATCCGTACCTTTAAGATGAAATTCTTCCAGAGGAGAAGCTTTAGTTTCTTGAACACTGCCATTTTCCCCCCAGTTGAAAAAGACGCTCACCACTAGTCAAGAAACAAGTTGAGAAAATAGGATGTATAACACAAATATGCCAAGAAGTATTTTCAGTCAGGTGTAATGGCACACACCTTTGACTCTAGCACTTGGGCAGGAGGATCTCTGTGAGCTCAAGGCCACCCTGGTCTATAGAGTGAGTTCCAGGATAGCTGGGGCTACATAGTGAGACCCTGCCCTGAGAAAAACAAACAAAAACAGAAGTATTCTTTTCATCCTTGAATAATGTTGCTCTTGGGGATGCTCGGAACACTGTCTTTTCATTGTTACCCCTTCCCTGGCTCTTTGGGCTGATGCCTCTTCCTCTCCACAGCCTGCAAACATGAAGGTGCTACAGGCTCAGTCTCTGGACTCCTTTTCATGCCAACGTGTGACCTCACATAGCCATGACAGGATCCACAGGCATTCACACAATGTCTACTTGGATTTCTCTAGTCTGGACTTTTCCCAAATGTTCAACTGAAGGCTACCCGTCCCTGCCCCACTGTGTTTTAGCTCAAAACTGGCCTGGCCTATTTGTGGTTCTCCTGAAACAACTTATCCTAGGGTCTCCTTTACCTCAGGTCCTATCAGTTCCACTCTTGAGATAAAGGTCTTTACTGCCTTTTCTTTTGAAATGCAGTCTGTCACAGCCTGCTGGTTCAGCCTTTAGAACAGTCTCAGAATTTGGCACCTTCCACCACCCCAGTTCTTATCAGCCCTCACCTCTCCTGACTTGTGACTGTTTGGTGACAGCCGCAGCAGTACAGACACTGCATCTGATCTTGTCACCTTGCAACACACTCCTAGGAGCTAACAAGAACAGCCCATTCAAGCCAGATGACCCTTCCATCATAAAATCTCCAAGAAAAAGCTGCGCTTTGCAATGACCTACAAAGTCCCGCAGTATATAGTTCCTGTTATTTCATCCATTACCCATCTACCTTACTGTTCCTACTACGACATCACAGGCCTAATCACTGTTCCATAACACAATAAATCCATACTGCATCAACATTTGGGTTTCCTTTGCCAAGTAGATAATTCCTTCATGTCTTTACATGGAGAACTCTACAGTTTCTTTTGGATATTTATTCAGAAGTTACTTTCCCAGTGAGCTTTTCATTACCATTCTAAATAAAATTTCAGTCTCTTGGAACATGCATATCTACTTTTCGTGTTTTTCTTCTTAGCATATTTAAGTAAAAAAAATGTTCTCTACTTCACAACTGGGGAGATGGCTCAAGAAATGGCTCAGTGGGTAAAATATTTGCTGCACAAAATGCTTGCAGGACCTGAGTTCCGTCCCCAATACTCATGTAAAGTCAGGCATGGAGGCACATGCCTGTAACCCTAGAGCTAGCTGAGCAGAGAGGCAGCTAGATCTTGGGGGCTCACTGGCCAGGTAGTTGACCTGAAACACTGAGCTCCAAGTTCAGTGATAGACCCTGCCTTAAATAAATAAGATGCATGGGCTGGAGAACTGGCTTAGCATGTAAGAGTCCATTCTACTTTCCAGAGGACCCAGGTTCAGTTCCTAGCAGCCACACAGGGCAGTTGACAATTGCCTGCAATTCCAGCTCCAGAAGATCTGATGTGCTCTTCTGGCTTCCACAGAAACTCATGCACGTGCACGAATACACACACACACAGACACACACACACACACACACACACACACACACACACACACACTGAAGACCCATCTGCCCAGCATGGCATCTAGAGGTTTAAGAAGGGCTCCACCTCAAATCTCAAACAGACCTGACTGTCCCCAAAGCAAGGGATCAGTGTGGGTCCCAGAGCTCCGTGAGAGTCAGTTGGCCCTGGGCAGTCAGGAACAAGGTTCTAGCCGCTCGCAGCAACTCAAGGGTAGCTTAGAGGAGTTGATGCTGAAGCCAGNGTGGGGAGATTGACAGAAAGACTGAGCCAGACATACAAATACATATAATTATAAAATAACTATTAAAAAATGATGCAGGGCCTGGAGAGATGGCTCAGGGGTTAAGAGCATTGACTGCTCTTCAAAGGTCCTGAGTTCATTTCCCAATAACCACATGGTGGCTCACAACCATTTGTAATGAGATCTGGTGCCCTCTTCTGGCCTGCAGTTGTACATGCAGGCCGAACACTGCACATAATAAATAACCAAATTTAAAAAATATGATGCAGTACTTAGAAGGTACCACCATAACCAGCTACACCTACATTAAAAAATAGATCAATGGCTGTGAGGGGAAAAATTAAATTACTGAGAGCATAATGATGGTTGTAAAAATAAATACACACACAAAATCATTGCATTGGCTTTTTTTCTCTCTCTCTCTTTTTGGGGGGTGGGATGAATTTCAAGACAGGGTTTGTCTGTAGCTTTGGAGCCTGTCCTGGAACTAGCTCTTGTAGACCAGGCTGGCTTCGAACTCACAGAGATCCCCCTGCCTCTGCCTCTGCCTCCCAAGTGCTGGGATTAAAGGTGTGCGCCACCACTGCCTGGCCTTATATTATTTTCAAATTACAATAGCTTCACTAGTCTAACGATACTTTGTTGAGGACTCTGAATTCTGTTAAATGGGTGTTTTAATACTTACATTTCCAGTTATATTTGTGCAGTCAGCACACAATAAAAATGTAAATTTAACACAAGACGCCTATTTTGTGAGATGCTGAGGAACGTTCTTCATCAATACTCCCAGCCTCATTTACCTAAGGGAAATTTTAAGTCATCCAGCTCTGTTCCTAGATTTAGCTCTGCAGAACTAGGATTCGGTTTGGAAAAGACTAAAAAGTTGCAAGCTTTAATCTTTTGAGCTGGAAATGACAAGTACTGGTTTGAAAGAAAAGTAATTAAGGAAGAAGCAGGCTAAAGTTATAGTCGTCAGGCTCACACACTTTTCTGGCGTGAAGTAGAGAATGGGAAAGACATTTTGTTTGGAGGGATGACGGCGATGCCTGCAGCACACTAATAATCCAAATCCCCGCCTTCCATTAACTGCCCCGCGGCATGCGTCATACTACCATTTAATTGGAATTTAAGTGCCAGGCATTATAATCACTTAAATATGCTTTTTTCTCATTTCACTTTCAAAAAGGGCGAGGAGTGAGAGGGAACAACAACCTTTAAATTTGCTATTGTTACCATTTCAATTTTAGGAGTTGGAAATTAAGATTCCAAAGAGTAAAATGACTTGACTACACTACTGAAGAACTCAAGGCCTTAAGTCAGGTCTCAGTGACTCCTTTATCCGGCAAACTTGGCCAGAGCTGTCTCTGTGGAAGGTGTTCTAGGATCCCAGGGGATTGACTGTGTGTCAGGAAAGGGCTCTTTCCCTGGGAGCCCACCTTCTGGGTTAACCATATTGGACCTCAGAGAGCTAGAGGTCGTGACCACAGTGAAACTGGCATCTCGACTTGGAAGTCCCGGGTTACCTTAGGCACCTCTGCAGCCTGGATGCCGGGGAAGGCTGAGCCTCACTCACCGCCCGCACCCAGCCAGTGGCCGCGGGCATTCAAGGGACCCGCCGGACCACCCGCGGCGACTGTTGGCCCCGCGGCGCAGTCGCTCACGCTCCACCCGGTGACCCACTTCTCACGGGCCGGCCGCGCGGCTGCACAGACCTGGATCCAGGAATCTACGATCTCACCGCCATTCCCTCCCAGAGGGGACCCAGAACCCTGATTCCCTCCTCCTAGCCCCACCACTTCGACTCCGTTCTCCTAGCGATGCTGCTGGGCTGGGTCGTGACTCTCGCTGTACTCGCTGCCCGTTGTCGACGCTGTCAGGTTCCTCAACCTAACCTCCCCAGGGCTTGGGTTTCTTCTGCTCAGGCAGGAGCTGGAAAGTAGCACGTTCCCTTGGTGACGGGAGTGAGATGGAGCGAGGGCCCTGGGGAGAAAGAGGAACTTGAAATAGTAAAACCCGCCGCAAAAGTGAAATACTTAATATTCCAGCCTCAACTGCTTTGAAACACATTTGTGCTGAGACAAGCTTCAGGCCCACGGCCCCGGGGCTCTGTCCCCTGGCATCGCACACTCAGTCGACGAAGCAGAACCCCAGACTAACGCCCCCTGCTGGACACGGACCAGGCGGCGCCGCACTCTCGGTCGCCAGAGTGTGGCTCAAAACCCGCAGGGACAACCCATCACGCACGCGCAGTACGGCCCCGCCCCACCCCACCCGCACTCGCGCACGCGCCTGCAGGAGGTGCGCCCTCCGTGGAGTACTGCGCAGATGCACGGTCGGGAATGTTGACCTAGGAGCGGGTGCACGCGCGCGCGACGCGGAGAGCCCTCTGTCAGAGCCGGGCAACACGTGCGAGGCACTGCGCAGACGCTGAAGCCGCAGCTTAGGCGAGGTTGAGCCGGCCGGGAGCAAACCCCGGGCACCTGCAGGGGCGGCCCACTGCGCACGCGCGATCCGCCGCGCCCCCTGGAGGAGCCGGAGCTTCCTGGTGCGTTCTCCCACCCGCGCCGGTCTCCGGTGCTTCCTCCCTGCGTGGCGGCCTCAGCTGTCAGCGCCGGCCGCAGCCGCCCCTGCGAGGCTGGAGCGGAACCGGGAATCTAAGGGAGGGAACCTGGCGAAAGAGCCGCGCCGAGCGCCGCCACCCTGGCGCTGGGGGTCGGTGAGTGCCACTAGGACCGGTCCCCTCGCGTGCTAGCGCCGGCGTCTGAGTTTGCTAGTCCTTGCCCGTGTCTCCGCTTTGCCTGCGGGCAGCGCCCCAGCCCGGGGCCTCCAGGTCCCCGCCGGCTCCCGGACCGTCCGTCCGTGTGTGCCGCAGGTGTCGCTTTCGCGGCGGCGGCGGCGGCGAGACTGGGTGTGTCCCCGCTATAGCAGGACCGCTGGGCGCGCAGGAACCTGCTCAGACAACCAGGGTCGTTATGCGGGCCCAGCAAATGGACAGACAGCCGCCGCCCTCCGGTGCGTTCTTGGCTGCGGGGTAGCGGGCAGATGGAGTGCTCCCGGCGCACCCAGCCAGTACTGGTGCGGGATGAGATTCCTCCTGAATCAGAGTCCTTCAAGCTCCACCCTCTTTATTTTCACGAACTTCAGCGTAGGGTTCAAGGGGTGCTTCCATAGATGTTGAAGTTGGGAAGCCCCCAGTGTGCAGGACAAGACAGGGAAGGGAGAATCATCGGTGTGGGCTATGTTCCTGCAGGTGTCTCAGGGCTGGTGCTCCGGACTTCAACCAGCACCTGAGGGCTAGGGTCGCCTTCGGAGCCTGGGTCCAGGGCAGGTGTTCCCTGGTGCTGCATGCTTGAGAGACCCTGCTTTCCCTGTGTGTGGCCCTTCTGGGCCTTGTCTTAGAAGGTATTTCTGTCTGTCCCCTTGTCTCCAGGCCCGGAAGGTTCTTGAATTCTGGTTTAGGGACTTAGTGTTTGCACATCAGGAGCCCTCGGGAAATGTTCCAGAATGAGTGATGTTGGCTCTGTAGTAACAATGTGGAGACCCAGGCAGAGTTTAAGGAAATGAATTCCACCCTTGTCTCCTAAGCAGCCTTATTTCGTTCTGAAAGTTTTGGTGTTGCCATTATTAAGCTTGAAAAGACTGAAACCATTTTAGAAAACTTGCCTCATGGGAAGTGAAGGGGGAAGGGTGAGGAAAAGTGAATAAAAATGGATGCCATCGGAATCTCCCTCACCCACATTGGTTCGAATTGAGCCCTCGCAAACAGAACATCTTCCTCTAAGATGCTGTACCCCCAATCTGAGTGAACAGTCTTTTGGAGCATGACAAGGTAGTTGTAATTGTTTTAGCAAGTCGCTAGCTTTCCATATTACATTGACCAGGTAGTCTCATGGAAACTGTTTGACTTAGTCTTAACTGGAAAGGCTTAATTTGGCCTTTATGGAGTCTATGGTTTCTCCTCCAGCCCTGCTTCTGGCAGTTGGCAGGAGGCTTCTTTGCTACTGAGTCTGTCTAGAGCTACATTCTAGAACTCTTAGGTATGCCTATCGCTCTTCAAATGGGCCAGGCTCCAGGCATGATTCTGAGTCACTAGGGATTGTCCCTGGTCTTAGAGATCTTAGAATGGCACTGATTTACAATAAATAAATAAATAAATAAATAAATAAATAAATAAATAAATAAAACCTTGCAAAAAGCAGAAACAGTTTTGGAGTTTTGGACCAGTGGTAAAAGCGTTTGACAGTCCCATCTGATAGGTTGAGTTAGAACCCTACCACCCAACTGGCAGACTGGGAGAACCAACTTCTTCAAGCTGTCCTTGATCTCCATACAGACACCATAGTGCAAGCATCCCCCTGCCACAGCACAAATAATAATGTATTTTTATTAAAGTGCGAGGTGGGTGGCGCATGTCACATCCAGAATAGGTGCCACAGGTGTCCAGAGGGGTGGTTTCAATTAGGAGCAGGAGATCTGAACTAAGGCTGCTTGTTAGAACTGCTTAGACCAGAGCCCACAGTCTTCATGGGTGAGCATCAGTTTCAGTGTCTGTCAGAAAGCAGCCCTAGAAGATTCTGCTTGGCAGCTAAGATGGCGAGCTCCTGCTTTCCAGAGACAGCATTACAGAGGGCCTGGCATCGGAGTAGGCCGGGAAACGGTAGGGTTTCACCAGGGGAAGCAATATGTTGGGTGAAGTGCTGAAGGCCCATTCTGGGTGTGGAGAGAAGGGCGTGGGGCCCATCCATGCATTGATGTCCATTCCCCTTGAATGGCACAAGGCCTGGAGTCAGCAGGTCGTGGTCACCTTCACAGAGACCGTAATGCTCTCCTTGCTGCTTTGCTTATTACAGAAGATCCATGGTTACCTCTCTGGGGACTCCTGTTGCTTCATTACCTCATTTCCCATGCCTAAAAAAGGCAGAAAAGCTAGCTATCCGGGGAACGAAACCAAGGCTGCAGCATGGGAATCAGGCAGGAAAGCAAGCAACAAGATAAGCTTTGTGAAATTCTCTTCAGAGAACTTTCTATAGGCCACATATTTGTCCTAAAATATACCCTGTCAGTTCTCACCAAGAGCTTCCTCTTCTAGGGAGACCACTGCCATCAGCTCTGGATAGACCAGATAATGGTGAGTGGTTTTGTTCCAGAAAGTACAGTCCTCTATCTACCTAGGCCTGCAGACCGTATCACCCAGTCTCAGACTTGGCTTCCTAGAGCTCCAAGACACAGGTTCTGGCTTGTAGGCCATGATCACCTCATTTGCATAAGGACCACTGTGTAAGCAAATCATCCCCATGCACTTTCCGTGTGTACTGCTATATAGAAAAGAATTTGAGAGTGTTCATATATAGAGAGTCAAATAATAAATCCTAACAAATAAATTCAGAATTATAGATGAATAAAGAGTTTTTAAAGAAATACAAGGTGAGGTCAGGCAGTGGTGGTGCACACCTTTAATCCCAGCACTTGAGAGGCAAAGGCAGGTGGATCTTTGAGTTTGAGGCCAGCCTGGTTTATAGAACAAATTACAGGACAGCCAGGGCTACACAGAGAAATTGTGTCTCAAAAAAATAAAAAAGCAAAGAGATAAAGGTAAAGTTGACATGATGAAAACATTTCCAATATAGTAACAGAACAAAAATTATAGTATAAACATGCCTTGTACAGGGAAAGCCATGAGATCAGACTCAGATCGCTGAAGTGAAACTCACGTCCTAGCGCGTGAACATGCTTGTTCTTGGTCTGTTCATTTCAGGAACCAGGTCTTGTTGAGCTTACAAATGAGCATGATAACCCTTGTGTAGGCACAGATGCTGTGCTTCTGGGTCTCAGCTCATTTACCTGCCATGCAAATGCTCTGAGCAGATTTGGGTTGGTGCGTGTTTACAGGTAAAAGGAAAGATACAAATTCTGGTCTTGAAGGTTTTGTGGTATTTACCTTTATATGTGGCACTCACATAGCAGCTGTGGCAATATCGTGTGATCGTGAACTGTCTTATGCTTATCAGCTTTTTATTGCTATTACAAATTCTTGAGGCAGCTTTTTTGAAAAAGACTTGCTTTGGCTCATAGTTTTAGAGATTTCAGCCCATGATAATTGGCCATAGCCTTGCAGCCTATAGTAAGGACGCACACCATGGTGGGGAATAACATGGCAGATGAAAGCTGCACACATGGGTCCAGAAAGAGTTCTCACAGATGTTCTGGTGATGTAGACCTCCTGCCAGGCCCCACCTATTAAAGTTTCTGCCAATAGTATCAAGCATGGAACTCAGCTTTTAACATATGAGCCTTCAGGGGACACACAAGATCCAAACCACGGCACATCTGTGTTCAGACATTCATGCTCACTAGATTTCTGTTCTTAGCATGAATTGTTTGTTAGTTCTGATTCTCATATCTTGTCATCTTTTCCTTGAAGGGACAGGTTTGCGTGTGGGGGTTTTCTGAGGGAGAGGGTTCTTTTCAAGGAGGGTATATCCATAGATGTGTGTGTGTGTGTGTGTGTGCAGGCCAGACGTATCTTCCTCTGTTGCTCTCCATCTTATTTTCATTGAACCTGGAGCACATTAATTTGGCTGGGTTAGCTGGCCAGCAAGCTCCAGCAGTTTCCTGTCCCTGCACCCCCTCCTGCCCTGGCTCCCATTCCGGTGCTGGGGTTGCAGACACATTCCAATGCCCAGCTTTTCACATAGGTGCTGGGTCTGAACTCAGGTTCTTCTGCTTACATAACAGGCCGTTTACCCAATAACATCTCCTCAGCCTGTTTATTTCTTTTTTAAATATTTATTTTTATTTTATATGTATGAATGTATGTGCACTCTGTGTAGACCTGGTGCCCACGGAAGCCAGCAGCAGACATCAGACCCCCTAGAACTAGAGAACATTGCATTACAGAACATTGTGAGCTGTCCCCTGGGTGCTGGGACCCGAACCTGGACCTCTGCAAGAGCAAGCAGTACTCTTCATTGCTGAACAATCTTTCTGCCCTCCCCTCGCTTAGGCAGTTTCATGCACTGTTGCACTTACTTGTTATTTAAAAATTTTAAAGGTATCTAGAAATTTCATCAAAGAACTCCATAATTCCCCAGTAAGTCCCGCGCTAACCAGTGAACCCTGGAGGTGCTGGTCAACACTTTTCAGATAGCTACAAAACTTTGGAAACCTTTGGTAGTCTCTGTTAAACGTTTATTACATTCGTTTGTGTGTATGTGTGCACATATGTGCATACGTGTGGGAAGATCAAAGGACAGACAACTTATGAGAGTTGATTCCATCTTTCTTGTCTAAGAATCGGGCAGGGTTGGCAGCAAAGCCTTTATATACTGTGCCATTTCCCTGGCCCTCTTTTTAAAAACCACATTCATGATACCCTTTTTTTAAAAAAAAAATGATATCTTGAAGGCTGGAGAGATAACTGAGAGGTTATGAGCACTGCCTGCTCTTCCAGAGGTCCTGAGTTCAATTCCCAGCAACCACATGGTGGCTCACAACCATCTGTAATGAGATCTGGTGCCCTTTTCTGGCCTACAGGCATACATGGAGGCAGAGCGCCATATAGATAATAAATTTTAAAAACGATATCTTGAAACATATACACTTTATGTCTGAGATGCTTAAATAAACTCCTGAGAGAGGCCCCACCACCACCCATGTAACGGGTTCACTATCAGGACCCACAGCCACTGCCTCACAACTGACAAAACCAGAGTCCGTCATGTAATAAATATTCATGAAGCTTTTTCTTATTTTAGGGAATACAAGGAAATTGCTCACTATCCCTCCACTGCCATGTACTGCCTTGTTCACCCGACTAGAAAACAGCTGGTGAGCTTCACAGATGAGGGCCGTATCCTAAAAATGTGCCTCTTCTTCTCCCTTTTACTCATGATGCGGTTTCTATCTGCAGAATCCATTGCCTTTGACATTTGCCAGTGTTTAAATAGCCTCAGAGAAAGACTGAACAAAGTCAGAGCAGACGTGAGCTATGTATGCTTTAGCTCACATACATACATGTGCCCGTCAATGCTTTCTTGGGGCAGAATCCAAAGCTTTGTGTACGTTAGGCATGGTAGCACATGGTTTCATGCTGGCACTTGGAAGGCAGAAGCAGGTGGATCTCTGTGAATTTGAGGTCAGCCTGGTCTACAGACTGAGTTATAACAACCAGGATTACATACTAGACAGACCCTGTCTTTGAAAAGAATTTTTTTTTAATTTTAAGAATTTAAGCTTTGGGGTCTGTTTTCATCTGTATCTCCTTGTTTGCTGCTGTCAGGCTCATGTTCAGTTTCAGGGTAACTCTTCCACCAATATCCTTCCATTTCTCCGGGATCCTCCGGTAATTCCTCAGGATGAAGCAGCTGGAGCACCATGGTCACCCAGCCCTCCATCTGTCAACATACGTACAGTTAATTCCTGTCTTCTCCAGGATTGTGTGATATTATCTCTGGTGGTCTGAATGAAAATGGCTTATAGGGAGTGGCATTATTTGAAAGGATTAGGACATGTGGCCTTAATGGAATAGGTTGGCCTTGCTGGAGGAAGTGGGTGTACTTTGAGGTTTCAGAAGCTCAAGCCAGGCCCAGTGGGTCACTATGTCTTCTACCTGCTGGTCCAGATGTGGAATTCTTGGCTTCTTCTCCAGCACCATGTCCAATGCTACCATGATGGAATGGTCTAAACCTCTGAACTGAAAATTAAATGTTTTTTGTTATAAGAGTTTCCATAGTCGTGGTGTCTCTTCACAGCAACGGAACCCCTGACTTACCTGCCTTAGCTTAATTTAATTTCAACAGTTACAAGAGAGAGAACTATTATAGACTATAAACTGTAAGAACATTATGTGTCCATTAGTAAAGCCTTAGCATGTTGTACAAATACACATCACAGTAAGCATTTGGCAAATGTTTGTTGAATGAATAAATGTTTTCTGCTTTGTGTATTTTTTTTAATATTTATTTATTTATTACGTATACAATATTCTGTCTGCGTGTATGCCAGCAGGCCAGAAGAGGGCACAAGACCCCATTACAAATGGTTGTGAGCCACCATGTGGTTGCTGGGAATTGAACTCAGGACCTTTGGAAGAGCAGGCAATGCTCTTAACCTCTGAGCCATCTCTTCAGCCCCAGCTTTGTGTATCTTAAAAAGCCACAGAGTCTGTCAGCACTCTCTATACACACACACAGACCTTTGGTCCTGGCTGGCTGCTGGAAATTCTCTAGATCTGGTAATGAAATGCTTTCCTAAAAGCATCTCAAGTAGGGCAAAGCAATTCCTCAAGTTGAAGGAAGAACACGAAGTGTGGCCAGCGCTGCCCACCAGGACACCTCTGTGTCACACACCTGTGTAGCATATGAAGCACCATGGTCATCAGCTTTCTCTGAGCAACCTCAGCGGCCTATTTGCGGCCTTATTAGGGTTCCTTTCTTCTCAAGGCCTGTGACTCCATGGAGGGAGATGCACCAGTGCTGGGGAACATGACAGACACATGGTGCAAAGGGTTTTCTGCTTGATACCAGGTCCCTGTAGTGATTTACTGGTTTCAAAGGCCCCTTAGCGCCCTCTCCGAAGCAGTGGCCCTGCTCTACTCCATGTTTGCAGATATTTATGTGGAACAACGAAACCAGATGATAGGGTTCAGTGTAGCTGCCATGGTGGCTTAGTGGTAGAGTTCTTGCCTGGTGCGAATGAGGCACTAGTTTTACCCCTGGCACTGGCTGGGACTCTTCTAGATGCTGCTGATTAGAGGCACCATAGTGCGCATGGACTATCACAACCCATAGTCCCTAAGCTAAGAGCAATTGTGAGAAAGACCATTTTACAGGAGTCCTATGGTCTGCCAGCAGAGTTCTCAGAAATCAGCACTTGCTTTATATATAACCATTTGATTGTCCACTTTAATACAAACTTTGAAATACTCACTGCCTTGTGCAATATTTGATATTTTAACTGGAAGCAAACAAGCCTTTGCCAGGGTGGGGGCTGCCTTTTCTTTCTCGTTGTTTCCTCAGGATCAGGCTGAGCCCTCTTCAGTAGGACCTTCTTAGAGGATTCTTGCAGGGGGTGGGGAGGCTAAAGTGACAGCTCTTGGTGTTTGCCTTAGAGTAGCTGGCAGTCGTTTCCTCCCCTGAGGTTAGTCTCAGCTCTCAGCCATCACCACTTCTGAGTATCTCCAGTGCCACTCAAGTGTTAAGTGCGTTGAGGAACTTTAACTTCCTTCTCTTGCATGCATTGGCTTTCGTAACCAGAAAGTGCTCCAGATTTTGTAATTCCAGGATCTCCTCCTTTAAATGCCTTTGCTCAAACAGAACATGCACACGTGTGAATGTAGCCTTCACTGAGACTTCAGATAAGGCTTAGCAAGGGCAAAGCAGTAAGCAGGGTATTGAGGGGAATGGGAACAAATTAAAGCACTAAAGAGGTGGTGGCTGACTAATGCTGCATTCTAGGAGCGAGAGATGAAGATGTTAGAAGGATGCTCACCGTGACTAGAATATAAAAGATACATATATGCTTTATATATAAATATGTAACATATACACGGTATATGTTTATCCTGTGTATAAAGGATAGAGGCATGCAGGGCCTAAGAGCTCAGATTTCGAGGCTGTCAAGACAGGCTGAGGTTCAAGTGCTGACACAGCTTACTTGCAGTTTGGTCTTGGCCAGTACTTCCTTTTGGTCTCGGTCTGGGAAGGATGATAATACTAGGAACCCGGGCCACATTAGGAGGCCATCAGCATAAAGTGCCAGGCACCGCTGTGGATATGTGTGTGTAAATCTGCACCTCTCCGTTATCCAGCTGCTCTGTTTTAGCACTATCCTGTTTGGTGTGTCCGGTGAGTGTCAGGCAAGTGCTAGCCACTGATCTGCGCTCCCTACTCCCTGAGAAACATCCTCGGAACACGTTTTGCTCTCTTACTTTCTAACTTGGTAGCTGTTTTGTGGTTCTTTTTCAAATTAAACTTAAACACCCTTCATCTACCCAAAGGTGCCAGAGAGTCATGCCTGTGAGCCCCAGGTTCCTCCAGATGTCCCTCGAGATCTCATCGTTCCTGCTCCCTAGGGCTACTGCTTCTCTCCGGGGACCCACTGGCTCCACCCCAGAGTTGTGTGTGTAGCACTGCTGCCGCCAGGCCACTTCACCTGTAACCTTGGAGCAACACCTTCAGCCAGCCTTGCCTGGGACTAAGGTCAGTTTCTGGTGCTGCCTCTGCAGTTTGCCTAGGTGTCTAAACTGGGTGGCCTTTGCTGCTCTGGGCCTGAAAGGAGTGGGAATAAGCAAGAGAGTGTTATATATTCTTGAACAAGAGCCAAAAAATAAAACTTTTTTGTTATTGTTGTTGTTTTTTTGTTTTTGTTTTTCAAGACAGAGTTTCTCTAGCTTTGGAGCCTGTCCTGGAACTAGCTCTTGTAGACCAAGCTGGCCTCAAATTCACAGAGATCTGCCTGCTAGGATTAATGGCGTGTGCCTCCACCACCCGGCTAACCATCTACTTCTTTAACCAGAAGATCATTTTATTTCCTTTTTGAAACGAGGTCGGATGTAGCTCATGCTGGCCTTGTACTTACTGTGTGGTGGAGGAGATTGAATTTGAGCTTTTGATCATCCTGCCTACCAGGAGCTAAGATTACAGGCATTTGCCATCACACTGAGTTTATACAGGGCGTGAGATTAAGCCCATAGTGCTCTGATGCTTGCTAGGCAGGTAGCCGAGCTACATCCTGAGCCCCAAAACCTTTCTGAACTGTGACCTTTTCATATTCCTCTCTGATGGAAGAAGAAAGTTCATTTAGGTTAAGCTAGCTGCTGGTCTGGATTAGCTTTGATCAGAGCCATCTGGTCTCCCTGTCAGACGGACTGTTATGAAAACCTTTCATGAACACAAATCTGGGATGGTGAAATTCTCAGCGGGGAAAGGCGCTGCTGTTAAACACTGTGACTTGAGTTTGATCTCTAGAGCTGGCATAAAAGGAAAGAATTGTTCCCCTAAGTTGTCTTCTGACCTACACCCACAAACAACACACACACACACACACACACACACACACGATAAATAACTACAAATGTGTTAACATTAAAAATTAAAAAGTCACCACGGTCTTTAACAAATGTCATTAAATTGCTGCTCCTTTATCAATTATCATAACTGTTTTTAAGACACTGTTGATAGGAGGTTTTACTTGCTGTTGTTTAGGTTTTGATGGTTGGTGGTTGTAGGTTTTTTTCCCCCCACCAAGATACTAGTGTCTCACTCTGTAGCCCTGGCTGGCCTGAAATTCAGAGGTCTACATGCTTCTTTCTCCACTTACTAAGTGCTGAAATTAGAGACGTGTATCCCTACCCCTGGCCTGGAGGAGTTTTTATTTTTGTTTTTTAGTGTTTTGAGACAGGGTTTCTCTGTGTAGCCCTGGCTGTCCTGGAACTCACTCTGTAGACCAGGCTGACCTCAAATTCACAGAAGTCTGCCTGCCTCTGTCTCCCAAGTGCTGGGATTAAAGGTGTGTGTCAACATGCCTGGCTTTGGTGTTTTAAAAATATTATTCTAAATAAATTTATTTTTAAAAAATAATATGTATACTTATACATTCATTTGTTGTTGTGGGTAGAACCCCCAACTCATACATGATACATAGACAAACTGCTGTCTACGGCCTTTACAAGTTAAAATTATAAAGTTTGGTATTTGTTAAGTTTTATTAATTTACTAAGTAGCCAATTAATGACACTTTGTATTGTCATAGCTTTTTTCACTTGTTAGTCCTTTCTGTCATTAAAAGTCATATTTTTATTTTATTTTTTTTGTTTTTGTTTTTATGGTGTTTTTTTTAATTTTTTTATTTATTTATTAAATATTTCTGTCTCTTCCCCACCTCCGCCTCCCCTTTCCCTCCCCCTCCCCCAATCAAGTCCCCTTCCCTCGTCAGCCCAAAGAGCAATCAGGGCTCTACGTCCCGTGGGAAGTCCAAGGAAAACCCTCCTCCGTCCAGGTCTCGTAAGGTGAGCATCCAAACAGCCTAGGCTCCCACAAAGCCAATACATGCAATAGGATCAAAAACCCATTGCCATTGTTCTTGATGTCTCAGTAGTCCTCATTGTCCGCTATGTTCAGTGAGACCTGTTTTAACCCAGGCTTTTTCAGACCCAGGTCAGCTGGCCTTGGTGAGTTCC